TCGTCATAGAGCGTCCCCACGCCATGCAATGGCAACTCTTCTTTTTGCAGTATTTAACGAGAAACAAATCCCTTTGTTTTAAAGGATATCCTCACCCACTGGCAACCCTGTCTATGCTTATCTACCGGCGTCTTACCTGGTTGAATTCGTTACAAATAGTCGCTGATTCTCTGTGATAAGGGGGAACGCACTGGGTGCTCAGTCCTGTGACATATTCACACCAAGAGGGTGTTGAAACCCGATCGCCTCAACAATGAGCCGTTTGTGTTCTGAAGCAAGTATTCTACTCCGTCCACCACAGTACCGTGCGTACCTACTCCAATATATTCAAATTCAAAATATATTGAAATTTTAATAAATTTTCTTTTTGGCTTTGGCCCTGGGTCGTATATTGTATAGTGTTGTGTAGTATGACATACATGTCTGGCATAAATTTGTCTTAATTTACGACAGAGGTCATGGGGTATGCGCCTTTGAGTTATTCATACAGATCGCAATATGAGGGTATTGGGTTTATGAAGTATACCAAGCTTACTGATTGCTTCATTAAAGAAAATTGTGTCCGCTAATTTACTAAGATGCTAAGATATATATAAAATTCCAAAGATGAGCTGTATAATTTACTCAACCTTTTTCACGAATGTAATTTTCAAGAGTACAGTTATACCGTTAGTTACGCGGTTTTGACGTCAGATATTTGAGTGAGTGAGTGAGTATGGTTTAACGCCGCTTTTAGCAATATTCCAGCAATATCACGGCGGGGGACACCAGAAATGGGCTCACATATTTGAATTGAGGTATCAACATTATGCACAACCTTCAAGCTAAAATAATATTTACCCCTATTTAAATAATGATGACTCCCTCAATAGAATCCGGCAATGTCGGACAAGTCCATTTTTATGCACAGGTGGGGATATCCCGCATATTCTCACATATCCTCGCGTCGATTACATGTATCTTTCTCCCAATGACGATTGCCACATCTCTCCCGCTTTGGGATGCGATCGTTCGATCATCTTGTTTATCTGCGTTGCCCAGTTACAACTATGAGGAACAGCTGACAAGACACGCCCCTCTCAGAAATAAGGTCGTCCAACATTCGACGTGATCAAGTTGCGAGCGCATGTTCGAATCCCCAGAATTAACGTCATGGTGTTATGGGTCTTGGTATTAGGGCGAAACATTTAACAGACAATAAGCATTTAATTCGACGGCCATAATTTTTAAAATTAATCTTAATCATGTTTGTCTATTAGCTCCGTCCTGTCAAAAGGGTATTTGCATCGCAATGCAATTTGTAATAATCTGAATAAATATTAAATGTAAATTACATTGAATCTTTGATCAGATTAATAATTTACTCCAGATTAATTATCTACTAATTACAGTATATATATATATATATATATATATATATATATATATTGAACAATTTCAAGTATGAGACTAGTTGCATTACATATTACATATTGCACGGGAGCAGAACACTGTAACTATCTTATTACAAAAGAAACAGATCAAGCGAAGAATTATCCGTTTAGAATCTAACCCCAAAGCATTATGTATGTATTAGGCTGGACTATTGATCGATAGCGTTTACAATATGCGGTGTGTGTGTTTTAAAACACGCTTCATAATGGATGTTGTATAATCTACCGCTCAATCGGGGCTTTAAGTTAAATCATGTCAATCCGTCAACCCAAACCCGACACCAAACACATACACACCCCCCCCCCCCCCCCCCCCACCCTTTCCTCTCTGGAGTCTCCCCTCGGTGTGAAATACGCCAGGTAGAACAGAAAATCAATCTGCTTGAAGAGCATTCGCAAACACTCAATACGCTGACCGCGCGTAGGAGCTGTGATACGTTTGAGGTCGTGGCAATTAATTACTTGGTCGTAGGACTAGCTCCGTTACGCGACATTATAACTATGGGATTATATTTTGAAAACGGCGATTGTGTTCTGAGTGGCAGATAGGAGCCTGTCCAAGCTGTCAGCGACGTGTTGGATCTGTCTCAGCCTCTTGTACGAATCACACATGCGATATCAGTCACAAATTGAATTAGGTGCGGCTCTGCTATCCGAAGCCGCCTTGTCGTACCTTTCTCGCAATACACTACTACCACCATCAAGAAATAAACCTTATATACTTCTTGACACCATCTAGCATTTTGATATTAAAACGACAATGCATGTTAAACGCTAGAATGAAAACAAAAGATTAAACAAACCCCAATAAACATTGATATAAAAAACTAAAATGATAATGAATGAATGAATGAATGAATGAATGAATGAATGAATGAATGAATGAATTAATCATTAGAAAGAAAACGAAAGATTAAACGGATCCCAATAAACATTGATACACAAAACTAAAATGATTATGTATGAATGAATGAATGAATGAATGAATGTGAATCAATGGATCAACGAAAAGAATGAATGAATAAATGAATACGAATGAATGAACAAAAGAATGAATGCATAATAAGAAGGAATGAATCAATGATGAATGAATGAAGGGAGGAATGAATGAAGGGAGGAATGAACGAGCGAATGAATGAATGAATGAATGTCATCTGTTCTTATTATCATGGTCTCGTGTAATGGAAATAAACATACACGAAACGTTCAGATAAAAAAACAACACCTCAGAACAAATAATACCATTCAGAAACAGAACCACGCCCACAAAACATAAATATGTAACACATCTCCACTTTCACTTAATCCTGTCTACAAACACACAACACACAACCCTCTACCTACCCATGGCTCCTTGTCTCTTCCAGCGAGGGGACATGTAATATACACGGTCTTGTTTGCAAGCCGGGATTTATACGAAATAATATATATATTTTTTTTATAATTTTTTATTCAGTCATATACACAGAATACATATGCACTCGGAAAGCAATACAGCTTTATGAATACAGGTACTTCTCAAGAGGATATGGTACAGAGGAGGCCTAAGGCATAATCCACATCATGGTACAGATGAAGGCATAATCCACATCATGGAACAGATGAAGGCATATTTATGTATACAATTAAGAAGATGCAGTATTTATGGTACATCAAATTATGTTGCAAACATCAAGTGAATAAGTTATTTTACAGTTTGAGTAAACAAAGCCCATTTTCTATTAAAGGCAGAGAAGTCGTTATTTCTACGTGCAATATGATATTCAACGTCATAGATACTTCTTATTGTGTTCTTAAAAGCAACAAAGTCAACCTTTTCATTCTTAATACACTGGACGAAGATAAATCTTTTAGCAGCTACACTCAAATGGTTAATTAATACATCAGAGGTACCAAAGAGGAGCTCGTTGTCAGTTATAATTATACGAAATAATATTGCCCAGAAACAACAGTTTACTGTTGGTGTGTGGCTGTTTGAAATGAATCACTGCACAATGACGTTACTAAACAAATACGGCTTATATAGCGACCAGTCCAACTCTGTGGCGTACTGCGAGTGAATGAGTATTGTATTACGCCGCTTTTAGCAATATTCCAGCAATATCATGGCGGAGGACACCAGAAATGGGCTTCACACATTGTACCCATGTCGGGAATCGAACCCGGGTCTTCGGCGTGACGAGCGAACACTTTAACCACTAGGCTACCCGACCGCCCCGCCGTGCCGTACTGTGATATTTAAAGGAGACTTTGCTTGTCGTAAGAGGCGACTAACGGGATTGGGTGGTCAGGCTCGCTGACCGTGCTCAGCAATATTCCAGCTATATGACGGCGGTCTGTACATAATCGAGTCTGGACCAGAAAATCCAAATGATTAACATCATGAGCATCAATCCACACAGTTGGGATGCGATGACGGTTTTAGTGCTAATTGACTTAAACAAATTAAGACACATGTTCGCATAGTTCAACTGAAAAGGTTACGGTTGCTATGACAACACACGGCATAGGTTGTCCAGGTTTGCTTGACCCTTTAATCGATCAGAGTTGATGCCATTTTATTATCGTCTATCATTCATGATTTATTTCGATGAAACCACGTCTCACGTGTTGCCGAGCAACAGGAAGACGTGGGCTAATACGGGGGAGAACGATATTGACTGGTTGTCTGTTGCTGTGCATGTTCCGTTTCTACGCACTGCTGTGTAGTTAGCTGGGTGACTGTCTTTCCGCAACAGCCAATGAGGACCAGTTTAGAAATGCGCAACCAAAGTCATTCGCGATCACTCGTGTCATTCCGGGCCAAGCAAGTTGCAGAAAGAACCGATTATGTCAACAATCAGAAACCAAATTGCAGGTTAAGCGCCGGTCCGTTAAATGAACCTGACATTTTCATTCGTCGCTATTATACGTTGGGGGCCCAAAAGAAATTTACACATCAAGTTTAGCTTCGGTTTCATTGCCGCTTTACCTATCTGTAGAAAGAGGAGTGCACACAATGCAAAGGACCCGTGAAGATCCGGGGTAGAATAGGTCTTCAGAAACCCATGCTTGCCATAAAAGGTGACTATGCTTGTCGTAAAAGGTGACAAACGGGATCGGGTGGTCAGGCTCGCTGACTTGGTTGATGCAGGTCATCGATCCAAATTGCGTGGATCGATGCTCATGATGTCAATCACTGGATTGTCTGGTCCAGACTCGACATCGATCTAAACTATATTACAATGTATCCCTCAAACACTTACACTCAGCCTGATGCATAAACCAGTTATCGCTAAGTACAACAAAATAATTCGAATGAAACGCATTTTGCAAAGTTGGTTACCACGAATGAGTTTGGGTTTCGCGACCGCTGCACACGTACTAAAAAAGAATATGGTGTCTATTCAGATATGACTTTCTAAATTTTATCAATGGACATAGGAACAATGTAATTCAGGCTGTTAGTTACATGGTAGGCATATGTCTCTCACTAAATGCACACTGATCGCTGGAGTTGCCTTACAATATTTTAGAGACCGTCATTATGTGAAATCAAGTGCTTACCTCCCTTGACACAAAGGGAAGTAATTCTATTTAGTAAACAAACTTGACACCTGAGTCGGATACGTTTCGCAATATTTCATTACCCGCTGATTAATATTCCCAGTGCAATATCGCGGGTAAGATAGAGATACAAACACTTCAGTGCTTTATCGTGTGTAGTCTATTCTCTTCCTGACTTGCCTTTGAACTCAAGTTATCGTGAACACAATGCAAGGCGGAGAGATCCCAGGATAACCACCAGCGTCCATCATTGATCAGGATCGAGGTAGTTGTCAATGTTCGTTAACATATTCACTGTATGATAGATAACAGAATCTGCAGAATGAAGGGCCACCCACGAACCCCTACATAAAACCCAAAGCAGAGACCATCAAATACCGGTATTTCATGGTCTGTTCCCAAAGTAAGCAGGATCGTGAGATGTAACATGTAACATTCTACTTACCATGCTTACATTTACTTACCTTCGATCATCAACATTGTAATCATCATGTTCAAGGTCGGTTGTTAATCAGACAGCCCGAAAGTGGCCAATGATTCAGGATAGACCTCTGAGTCTGTTTGTCAAAAGAGATAATCATATCTTCTTGAAAACAAAACACGTTTCCTCGTTTCATATTCTTTTCATGTTCATGATCCATGATTACTGCACTTTAATGGGCGCTTTATCTGATTCCATGAAGCCCCTCATGGTTTGATGATTGACCTTGCATTGTCAGTTTGGCTGGACTGATATATATATTAATTGGCAAACAGTTTTTTACTGCTAGAGTGCATGCTCAGTAGAGAAACAGTTTTTTAAATAATATGAAACTTGATAAAAACGTCACGAAATAATTCATTGGAGTAATTTGTTAAACATGTTAAAAGTGGTGAAACTGGTGACTCTCACCTCAACTCTAAGGAGCTTGTAAAGGGGTTGTAAAGGGATATTTTATCAGAAAAAATGTGCCTGTGTAAAATTATGGTGAAGAGGTGATTGATTGGAACAGGGGTCCAACGGCTAAGGATAGTGAGTGAGTGAGTATGGTTTTACGCCGCTTTTAGCAATATTCCAGCAATATGATGGCAGGGGACACCAGAAATGGGCTTCACACATTGGGCTAAGGATGGAGTTGAGGGTAACCGACCTGAACACAAATAACTGTAAAGATCAAGAAGACATGCCAGATAAGAGAAGCACGGTGTGGGCCAGTGTGATCATGGTTAGTGCTATGTTAAGCAGTCTTGCCAATGATCCTACCTGAATTCGCTGAAGGGATACTGTGTGTTTTTTCTGAGCATAACACCCGATAATTCTTTTTTACACTATATAAATCATAAACAACTACTATAACCATGATAATCTAATCTTTTTTTTCAAACTCTGAAACATGCAGCGTAGGCAGAGCAAGCATGTGCTGTTGTGTTGGTCATCTACCCCCCTACGACTCCACCTCAGCTGAACTGAGGGGTGGTCAGGGCCTAGTGGTTAAAGCGTTCGATCGTCACACCGAAGACCCGGGTTCGATTCCCGACATGGGTACAATGTGTGAAGCCCAAACCTGGTGTCCCCCGTCGTGATACTGCTAGAATATTGCTAAAAGCGGCGTAAAACCATACTCACTCACTCACTTGATACAATTCCCTATTTTGACTTTTACCATATCTTCCCGTATTTTTTCCAGTATACAATTGACTTGCCTTTGCTGAACTGCTGATCGTCTATAGATAGCGCTCATCAATTATTTGGACCCCCAAGGTAGCATTGTAGCGAGGGATTGCTGCGCTATGAAATGCATTCACACACATGTATACATAAATACATAACATACATGAATTATGTATATCATCATAATCATGTATAGTTTCATGAATATACATTCTAATACATTCATCATGTTTATAGTTGATATTTCACACTGACAATATGTTACTTATTGGGTATATGCAAATGCAGGAAACAAGCAGTGTATGAATCAGATGGGGACAGTTCCTTGTACTTCTTCAAAGACAACCTTGAGCAACACAAACTGTACATCCATTTATTGCATTTGTCCCAGAACTAAACGTCTTGGTATTCTCAACTCCTGCTGCATAAGCTCACATCACCTGATCTCCATAATCATATGTAAGTAAGTGTATATCTTCCTGACTTTAAAAGTCCAGTTTCCACCCTTGCCGAACTAGGCTGGAATTCCTGGGCTCGATCGTAGCGCCCCCAGTGGTTATTATGAGTTATGTTCCTTCTGAGCCTCTCCTATGGACCAATGAGATTGCATCACTTGCATTTGTTTCAAACAAAATGGCGGTGCCCAGTCAAGATGATCTGATCGATAATCAAGATCTATATTGTGATAAAACGGGTCTTACATCGCGAAGTGCATCAAGTCACGCGAGCACCTTGATTAAAAACATGAAAAGATTTGGAAAATATGTGTTGACAATGAGTTGGCGGTGCACATGTTTTGTAAATCCTGCAATCGACCGAAATCTGCATGACACTTTACGAACCGGATTTCGATTTCGGTGCGCGATTTTGATTGGACTATGCATAGACTCGTTAGTCCAGCCAAAAAGTAACTCCATAATACCAGCCTAGTTCGGCAAGGGTAGAAACTGGACTTTTATAGTCAGTTAACTCACTTGCCTCGGGAAGATGACTAACAGACTGATTCCTGATTGGCTGATAAACATGTTAAAAGAACAGGCGGAGCATGTGTTGCATTGTTGCCCCGAACATTTGCTGAATGATGTCACTGATTTCCTGCTGATGTCTACAGTGTTTTTGTGTTAATGATTAAATAGGTAGTCTGTGAAGTTATAAAGCGTTATACAGTGTGCACCCTGAGTTTTACGTTTATACATGCATAAACACAAACAAATATTGAAGCGAGTTTTTAATTAGATGGAGTTCTTCTTTTGGTAAGCAAGTAAGATGTATGTATTTTGAATCATCATGTATTGTTCCATATGTATTGTGTATTGTATCGAAGGCCATGTAGAGTTTCCAAGACATGGGTGTTAACTGACTCCAAAAGTCCAGTATTGAACTACGCTTGAATGTCGTGACTCCATCGTAATGCCACCAATGGCTATTATGGGTTATGTCCCTTGACTCCCTTCTATTGACCAATCAGATTCCACCTGTCATATCCCTTGCAGTTGCTTCAAACAAAAGGCGGCGCCCAGTCAAGACGATCTGATCAATAATCAAGATCTATATTGTAATAAAACGGGCCTTACCTCGCAAAGAGCATCAAATAATTTGAGCACCTTGATTAAAAAATGAAAAGGTCTGGAAAATATCTGTTGACGCCCAGCTGACGGTACACATGTTTTGTAAATCCTGCAGTCGATCGAAATCTGCATGTTGAAATCCATATTGTTCAGATGCCTAGTTTGTTGTGCGATTTTGATCGGACTATGCAAAGACTCTTTAGTTCAGCCCAAATTTAACTCCAGAATACCAGATTAGTTCGACAAGGGTGGAAACTGGACGTTTACAGTCAGTTAACTCCCTTGCCTCAGGAAGATGGTATATCAGTGAGTGGTATACCAGTCTTGTCTATATGAGGTGAGGTGAGGTGAAATGGGGTTTAGCATCGCGTCCAAGATTATTGCACTTATATAGCGACGTGCATGTACGTGTGTGTGTTTGTGTGGCTGCTTGTACTAGTCCGGACTGATGCCGATTTATAGTGCTAGCTCACTGAGATACCATGCCGCAGTTTAACATGAATACGGGTCAGTCGGGTAGCCTAGTGGTAAAAGCGTTCGCTCGTCACGCCGAAGACCCGGGTTCGATTCCCGACATGGGTACAATGTGTGAGCCTATTTCTGGTGTCCCCCGCCATGATATTGCTGGAATATTGCTAAAAGCAGCGTAAAACCATACTCAGTTAGTCAGTCAGTTAACATGAATACCCCACTCAGACACAGTATACTGACTCCCAGCCGACCAGTCCTTGTTTTAGCCACTTAATGCCGAGCGCCAGACAGGGTAACAACAAGTACCATCTTTTAACGTCTTTTGGTATGATGCGGCCGGGGATCGAACCCTGGACCTTCCGCTCTCTGGGGGGACGCTCCACTTGTCTATATGAAACACCTCTGTATTTCAGAATCACTGAAACATCACGTTATCCAGACCAGGAAGTAGCCCGGCCTTGGCTGTTTGATCACTGAAGTCCACCATGAAAAGACAGTGGGGTCTGCTTGTCGGGGTTTATCGGGAGTCTTCTGAGGAATAAACGTGACATTGAAGATGTCTGTGAAGTACACACGCATCCCAATGACTGACTGGTCAGACCCCGAGGTAGGGGGGTCAGCTTTCAACTATGGGTCAGCGTTTACCTACGACCAAAATATGACCGCCAAGTACAAGTCTGCATTTACCTACTCCAACAAAGGCACATTGGAGGTGGCAAGTATCACTGATTTTGAAACAGGTAACTGTACTTTCATCACATGTTCATGATTAATATACTTGATTATAATTATCATTATCATAAGGAATTAATTATCATTAATTATGGTTATAGTTATTAGGAATTAACAGGGTTCGAAAGATTTGAAAAGTGCTTGAATTTAACCATGTCCCATAAGTGCTTGATTCTGCCATTTTAAAATCAATGTGCTGGAATTTTATTGAAAATTCGTGAAAAGTGCTGGAATGTAAATAAAATCAGCCTAGCTGTAACAAAGTCACTACTGAAAATAGTTATCTATTCTTTTAATGCACTGTTTACTTCCTGTTGCTTACAACATGAAAAAAAAACTGTCTTCTGTATATTATGGGTAACGTGCGTTACTTCCTTTGCGCATTGTATTATTGAATTGAGTTTAATTAACATTATCATGAGCGGCACTTGAGGTGAGGTGAAATTGGGTTTAACGTCGCGTCCAAGATTATTGCACTTATATAGCGACGTGCATGCACATGAATGTGTGTGTGTGGCTGCTTGTACTAGTCCGGACTGATACCGATTAGCTAGCTCACTGAGATACCATGTCGCAGTTTAACATGAATACCCCACTCAGACACAGTATACTGACTCCGAGCCGACCAGTCCTTGTTTTAGCCCCTTAATGCCGAGCGCCAGACAGGGTAACAACAAGTACCATCTTTTAACGTCTTTTTGTACGACGGGGCCAGGGATTGAACCCTGGACCTTCTGCACTCCGGGCGGACGCTCTACCACAAGACCACGGAGGCGGTGGAGCGGCACTTGAAGCTCTGGACTGTTCCCGTTCTTGCGACAGACCAAACAGAGGAACCGGTCAGATTGTGTTTAAATCATACGGAAGTGTGTTTTTAACCACGCTTGGGATCAAAGTACCAATGGGTGCAGGAAACATAAGACAGAAACAGGGCAATGTGTTACCATGGTTACTGCTGCAGGAAGGAAACTGATATTGGTATGATGTGATGTGGTGTGCTAAATTCTCACAGACAAAGCAGTTGTCACCAGAAAAACTGTCAAATTGTCATTATTGGGATTAAAAGTACAGGATTTGGGCGTTGTTAAACGGGAAAAGTGTGCTTGAAAACATATGTTTTTCCTTGAAAAGTGCTTAAACAGTGCTTGAATTTAGAGTCCGAAGATCTGTATGAACCCTGACTAAATGTTAACTTAAACAATGCTGACAGCCTCCGTGGTCTAGTGGTAGAGCGTCCGCCCGGAGAGCGGAAGGTCCAGGGTTTGATCCCCGGCTGCGTCATGCCAAATGACGTTAAAAGATGGTACTTGTTGTTACCCTGCCTGGCGCTCGGTTGAGGGGTAAGCCAAGGACTGGTTGGGTTGGAGTCAGTAAACTGTGTCTGAGTGGGGTATCCATGTTAAACTGCGGCATGGTATCTTTGTGTGCTAGCATTATAAAATCGGCATTAGTTACGGGCAGTCACACACACACGTGCATGCACATCGCTATATACGTGCAATAATCTTGAACACCATGTTAAACCCAATTTCACCTCACCTAATCTCGACAATGTTATTTTCTCATAACAATCTTAAAATTTGCAGATAATTATGAAATTCAAGGTTGTTAGGAATGTTTGTATTATTATATATTGGCAGCAACCATTTAATATAAAAGTCCCCCCTCTTACAAACTTGTGAGCATGTATTTAGTAAAACACTCTCATCCAACCCTTGTCCCCAAGTCAGCTCTTAGGCATCAGTTTGCCCTCGTCTCGTTCTTATATAGTCTTCAAGAAACTATTACCTAAAAAAAATCCTGATCTATCAAGTCTGGGCAGTGAGGTAGGGAGGTAACTCTAACTAACACTGTGCAGAGTTGCTTCCCTTGGGCAGGCCAGAAACCAGTGAATGTGGGTTCGAATCCCGGTTCGCCCCAATTAGGTTTCTAGGTTTGTCAGCACCATACCTGTGCTCGTTTCACTGAAGTGGTAAACTTCTGAGATCTGCACCACTTTGGGCTTTCCTCCCACATTAAGCTGACATGCCGTGATATAACTGGAATAAAGATGGGTTAAACCCAACTCAGTAACTTACACTTCCTCTGTAGGTACTGTATAAACACTTCAGCTAACGTTTGTTTGTTTGTTTGTTTGTTTAACGCCACACTCAGCAATATTCCAGCTGTATGACGGCGGTCTGTAAATAATCGAGTCTTGACCAGACAATCCAGTGATTGACATCATGGGCATCGATCTACCCAATAGGGATCCGATGACATGCATCAACCAAGTCAGCGAGCCTGACCACCCAATCCCGACAATCATAGTCGCCTTTTACGGCAAGCATGGGTTGCTGAAGACCTATTCTACCCCGGATCTTCACGGGTCCTTCAGCTAATGATATTTCATGATCATTTTATTTGCTGCACTAACAATGATCATAAAAAGACGTACAATAATATATAATGCCACACAACACCAGTGATATTCTGGATGTGATTTTTTCAGAAGAGAGCTTCGTTTCAAGACTGCTATACAGGGTTGTCGTAGTTCTCAGCTTCATCGTCTGGGTCATCACCTTCCCCATCAGTGTGTGGTTCAGCTTTAAGGTAACTATGACTGGGAGTATTGTTATTGATGACAACTTCTTCTTTATATATACTAGGGCTGGGACCATACACCAACTGTGCGGTCCAATACGCACTATCATGGGTTTCAGCAGTGTCTCGCATACAAGAGACTGTAGGCTATCTCGCACAAAGAGACTTTTGGCCATTTCGCATACAAGAGACTGTAGGCCATCTCGCATAATAGAGATTGCAGGCCGTCTCACATACCAGAGACGGTAAACTATCTCGCATACAAGACACTGTAGGCCATCTCCCATACAAGAGACTGTAGGCTATCTCGCATAAAGAGACTTTTGGCCATTTTGCATACAAGAGACTTTTGGCCATTTTGCATACAAGAGACTGTAGGCCGTCTCACATACCAGAGACGGTAAACTATCTCGCATACAAGACACTGTAGGCCATCTCCCATACAAGACACTGTAGGTCATCTCGCGTACAAGAGACGGTAGGCCATCTCGCATACAAGAGACGGTAGGCCATCTCGCATACAAGAGATGGCAGGCCGTCTCACATACCAGAGATGGTAAACTATCTCGCATACAAGACACTGTAGGCCATCTCCCATACAAGACACTGTAGGTCATCTCGCGTACAAGAGACGTATGCCATCTCACATACAAGAGACGGTAGGCCATCTCTCATACAAGACACTGTAGGCCATATCGCGTACAAGAGACGTATGCCATCTCACACACAAGAGACGGTAGGCCATCTCACATACAAGAGACGGTAGGCCATCTCTCATACAAGACACTGTAGGCCATCTCGCATACAAGAGACGGTAGGCCATCTTGTATACAAGAGACGGTAGGCCATCTCACATACAGGAGACGGTAGGCCATCTTGCATACAAGAGATGGTAGGCCATCTCCCATACAAGAGATGGTAGGCCATCTCGCATTCAAGAGACGGTAGGCCATCTCGCATACAGGAGACGGTAGGCCATCTCGCATACAAGAGATAGTAGGCCATCTCGCATTCAAGACACTGTAGGCCATCTCGCATTCAAGACACTGTAGGCCATCTGGCATACAAGAGACGGTAGGCCATCTCGCATACAAGAGACGGTAGGCCATCTCGCATATAAGACACTGTAGGCCATCTCGCATACAAGACACTGTAGGCCATCTCTCATACAAGAGACGGTAGGCCATCTTGCATACAAGAGACGGTAGGCCATCTCTCATACAAGAGACGGTAGGCCATCTTGCATACAAAAGACGGTAGGCCATCTCGCATACAGATTGTAGGCTGTCTCTCATACAAGAGACGGTAGGCCATCTTACATACGGGAGACGGTAGGCCATCTCGCATACAAGAGATTGTAGGCCGTCTCTCATACAAGGGACGGTAGGCCATCTCGCATACAAGAGATTGTAGGCCATCTCTCATACAAGAGACGGTAGGCCATCTCGCATACAAGAGATTGTAGGCCGTCTCTCATACAAGAGATGGGAGGCCATCCCGCATACATGAGAAGGTAGGCCATCTCACTTACAAGAGGCTATCTTGCATAAAAGAGACTGTAGGCTGTCTCGGGCACAAGAGACTGTAGGCCATCGAGTGTACATGTTACATCTTTGACTTGTTAAATATCTGATTTTAATTAAATTTGGATATTCAATAACTTAATCAAACACCAATCAACACACATGTTTCATGAATCATGTATCATGTATCGTCAGGTGTAAGTCGCAGTGCATCCTTACTTCGGGGAAACCTGACGTCCCTAGTTTCAGTGTGGATCTTATATAATTACTGTTTCAGTCGGTGCCCAACTTTGAGAGGATGGTTGTGTTTAGGCTTGGGCATCTGAAGGGAGTCAAGGGGCCTGGTATGTATACATGACCACAAGGGGTGCACGGATATCCCAGTCGTCTAAGGCGCCGCGATTCGCTGTGCAGGGTTGCGTCCCTTGGGCTCGCCAGAAACCTATGATTGTGAGATCGAATCCCGGTTTGCCCCCATTATGTTTCTAGGTTTGACAGCACCATACTCGTGCTCGTGGGTTTCATCGAAGTGGTAAACATCTGAGACCTGCATTTCTTTGGGCTTTCCTCCCACATTAAGCTGACACGCCGTGATATAACTGGAATAATGTTAAATGCGGCGTCAAACACAACTCACTCACTCATGACTATGATGAGTGAACCAGGATCTTCACAAATCATTTGGGGATTCAAAGCAATCTGTTCTTGTTTTGAGAGGTGACCAAGTGGATTCGGTGGTCAGACTCTGTGACTAGTTTGATAGCGTCTCATCGTAACCTGATGGGATGGATCATCGTCAACAATTTAAATCACTAGATTATCTGGTCGAGACTTGATTATTTACATTCCGCCATCATGTAGTGGGAAATTGATGATAGTGGCGTTAAACAACAAACATATTGCTATGTTTGCTGAAATGTGGATTCGTTGGCTGAAATGACTGCTAGTTATGATTTATACTTGAATGAGAGAGAGACCAATATCTCCAAGCGAGACTTGAGTGAGAAAGATGATTGTGCTCACACTTTCGACCTCTGGTTAGTTTGGCTTAGTTTGATTTGATTACCTCTTGGAAAATAGCTGTACCAGTAATATCATTCTCTTAGCCATCAAATGCAATTCTTCCTCTGCTAGAATATGGACTTACTGTGTATTGTGCTCTGTTTGCCAGGGATGGTGTTTATACTGCCAGTGATTGACAGATGGCATAAAGTGGATATACGCATCAGAGCCTTCAATGTCCCTCCCAAACAGGTAAGACTTGTTTAAGACTTCTATACAGTAATATTAACCCTCCTTTACAAGGTGAGGGGACATTGGTGGCCAGTCATCTGAGACGCCCCAATTTGCTTTGCAGAGTTGCATCCCTTAAGCAGCTCTCACACTTTGCTGAGGTGGTTACTGAGCTCATGATTTAACATGGAGGCTCATATAGCTCGTATTAGACTCTTGTCAACTCGGCAATAAATTTTGCAGACGATCCTCATATGAGTTCTGTACGAGCACCACGAGGTCACCACAAGGGTACTACAAGTAGGACGAGTGTGTTATGAGTTTGTTAGGAGTTGGCTGAGCAGTTCCAAAACTGTCATAGATCACTACGAGGTATCCCGAGTTACCCCGAGTTTAGTACGACTTCGCTACGAGCTCCATACGAGTCAGCTCGGCAAAGTGTGAGAGCTCCTTTAGGCCCAGGGAAGATAATCTGATCGATAATCAAGATCTATTTTGTAATAAAACCAGGTCTTACCTTGTGAAATGCATCAAATCATGTGAGCACCTTGATTATTAACATGAATAATTTGGAAAATATCTGTTGACGCTTAGTTGATAGTACACATGCTTTGCAAATCCTGCAATTGACAAAAATCTGCACGGCAGTTTATGAGCCGAGTGTCAAAATCATTATGCGATTTTGATTGGACTATGCATAAACTCATTGGTCCAGCCAAAATTTAGCTCGATAATTCCAGCCTAGTTCGGCAAGGGTGCCAACTGGAATTTAATAGTCAGTTAACTCCCTTGCCTTGGGAAGATGACATACTCTTGTCCATTGAATAAGCCTATTACAAGCACAACTAATCTCCAGTATCTGTTTTACATTCAGGTTTTGACAGCAGATGGCGCTGTGATCGAGCTTGGTGCTGATGTGTTCTATCGTATAGCTGATGTTGAAAAGTCCATCACCCACGTCCAGAATCTTGACCAGTCCACACGGATCCTGATGCAGACCGCCCTGCTCAATCTCCTGGTCCAGAGAAAACTGTCGGACATCGAGAGCCAGAGGATGGACATCTCCAACATTGTACAGGTCAGTTGTTATGTATAGGAGTGAGCTGGGTTTCTCACTGCTTTCAACAGTGTATGTATGTGTGGGGTGGTGAGTGAGTGAGTTGGGTTTAACGCCGCTTTTAACAGTATTCCAGATATTTCGCGGCGTGTCAGCTTAATGTGGGAGGAAAGCCTGAAGTGATGCAGTTCTCTGACGTTTACCACTTCAGTGAAACCCACAAGCATGGGTATGGTGCTGACAAACCTAGAAACATAATCGGGGTGAACCGGGATTTGAACCCACAATCATAGGTTTCTGGCGTGCCCAAGGGACGCAACTCTGCACAGCGAACCGCGGCACCTTAGACCACTGGGTACAGGTGAGCCCTATAGTCCAGGTGAGTCTATAGTCCAAGTGAGCTCAATAGTACTGGTGAGCCCTATAGTCCAGATGAGCTCTATAGTCCAGGTGAGTCTCTAGTACAGGTGAGTCCTATAGTACAGGTGAGTCTATAGTCCAAGTGAGCTCTATAGTACAGGTGAGCCCTATAGTCCAGATGAGCTCTATAGTCCAGGTGAGTCTCTAGTACAGGTGAGCCCAATAGTCCAGGTGGGTCTCTAGTACAGGTGAGTCCTATAGTACAGGTGAGCCCTATCGTCCAGGTGAGTCTATAGTCCAAGTGAGCCCCATAGTACAGGTGAGCCCTATAGTACAGGTGAGCCCTATATTCCAGGTGAGTCTCTAGTACAGGTGAGCCCAATAGTCCAGGTGAGTTTCTAGTACAGGTGAGTCCTATAGTACAGGTGAGCCCTATAGTCCAGGTGAGTCTATAGTCCAAGTGAGCTCTATAGTACAGGTGAGCCCTATAGTCCAGATGAGCTCTATAGTCCAGGTGAGTCTCTAGTACAGGTGAGCCCTATACTCCAGGTGAGTCTCTAGTACAGGTGAGCCCTATCGTCCAGGTGAGCTCTATAGTCCAGGTGAGTCTCTAGTACAGGTGAGCCCAATAGTCCAGGTGAGTCTCTAGTACAGGTGAGTCCTATAGTACAGGTGAGCCCTATCGTCCAGGTGAGTCTATAGTCCAAGTGAGCTCTATAGTACAGGTGAGCCCTATAGTTCAGATGAGCTCAATAGTCCAGGTGAGTCTCTAGTACAGGTGAGCCCTATAGTTCAGGTGAGTCTATAGTCCAGGTGAGTCTATAGTCCAAGTGAGCTCCATTGTACTCACTTGTATAGCCTGTACTCACCTGTACAGCCCTATAGTCCAGGTAAGCTCTATAGTACAGGTGAGCCGTATAGTTCAGATAAGCCCTATAGTCATAGCTCCAGATAAGCTTTTGGTGTTGTGAGTATTTTACCCATGCATTTTAAAATCATTGGGTATCAGTAATTCTATCCGGGTATTCAAATTTCTGTTACCCACTAGTTTTTACACATGTGGGTATTTAAGTTAAATATTTAAAAACACTATTCATCAAGTCCCTGCAAACTGCTGTCGTTTGGGTTCGAGAGATTTATAGGACTCAAAAATACCACGATACTTCCACAAGAAAGTGTGATGGCAAATGATCATGATGTAACTGTCATCGTGGAGTTTGGCAAGGTTGACGGAATGCCCGTTTATAATTTCAAAATAAGTTGCTGATTTGCTAATCAAATACGTAGGGTTACTTCACAATATTTTGATGATACACACTTTTATATTTGTAGCGTATCTGTAATGTTCGTTGCGTATTTGATACGCTTGAATTTAATATTTTACTGCTTATTTATGCATATCTGATGCGTATGTTACGCAGATACGCAGCTTATCTGGAGCTCTGCTATAGTCCAGGTAAGCTCTATAGTACAGGTGAGCCGTATAGTTAAGATGAGCCCTATAGCTCAGGTGAGTCTATAGTCCAGGTGAGTCTATAGTCCAAGTGAGCTCCATAGTCCAGGATGAGCCCTATAGTTGAGGGATGCAGGATGACAACTGTCCATGGCCAGGGAAAGAAGGAATAGTTCAGAGAACAAAAATAAATTCATTTTGCATAATATGTATGAATCTCAAGCCACAGGTCTGGATGTAAATAGTTGTGATGAGTGAGTGAGTGAGTATGGTTTTACGCCGCTTTTAATATTCCAGCAATATCACGGCGGGGAACACCAGAAATGGGCTTCACACATTGTACCCATGTCGGGAATCGAACCCAGGTCTTCATTGTGACAAGCGAACTGCACAACCACTAGGCTACCGACCGCCCCAATAGTTGTGATGAATCCATTTCATGCATGTGTGGCCGTATCTATGCCAGGGAGTCAGTGAAGTGGTAATAAAATCCACTGCACAAGACCATGAGTTCGTGCGATGCAAGTGACACAGTGTTCACAGTGTTTTGAAACGTGGGATTCTGTGTATTGATTTTTTCTGAGGAAAAAGTTATGTCCTTCATGTTATGAAAGCTTGTTAAATTCTAGAGAAGAACAACCACTTCTGATTGTCAAGTCACATCCATATGTAATTAGTTGACATGGATCAATATGAAGTAATATGAAATGTCAAGTATGAAATCTGCTCTGATTGTGATCGTCCTTGATTGTGGCTTTCACCAATGTGGGAAATTCCTTAGAACTGCAACACTTTGGGCTTTCCACAAACATGAATCAGACATGCTGTGAAATAACTCAAATATTGTTCAAGGCCGCCTTATAGCAATCTTACTCACTGTGCAGTTGTTGGTGATCAGTCTTTCTATCTTATATCAAACAGGTCAGACAATTGATCATGTCAAGTAATAAAAAATAATAATCAGAGTTTTATATAGCGCAAAATCCAAATCACTGAGGGACATGCTCGATGTGCAGATTCAGCACATGTACATAAAAAAATTATACTACTCAAAAGAAGTTAAGGATCACCCGATTCTTTCATAATGGTAAAGTTAATCTGTTATGGCATGAGAGATTAACTATAGTAATATGAAATAATCAGGTGATCCTTAACTTCTTTTGAGTAGTATATATACAACAGAGAGGGGACAGTAAGATAGTAAAAATATACACGTTCAGTTGTAGTGTTGCAAAAGGTATGGTTTGAGTCCAGACTTAAACACAGTGATACCAGGTGCACTTTTGAGGCTGCAGGGAAGGGAGATCCATAGAGAGGCACCAGCATGAAAGAAGGATCGAGCACCGAAGGACTTTAGTCTGTATTTTGGTACAGACAGGAGATGTTTGTCATTTGATCGGAGATTTCTGGTAGATTTGTATTTGAGAAACATTTCTTGACGATAGGCAGGGCCAGTGAAGAGACTGGTAGACAAGAGAGGATTTTAAGACCAATCCTCTCGTAGACTCGCAGCCAATGTAGTGACTTCAAGATGGGGGAGATATGTGACCGAAGCTTTGTTCTTGTCACAATTCGGGCAGCTCTATTCTGTATCTTCAGCAGTCAGTTCAGCTGATTCCCTGATATTACCACAAGCAATAGTCCAAACGAGACAGGATGAGTGATCTTGCCATGGGGGCTGTAGCTTCAGTAGTGAGAAGATGGTTGATTGATCCAATATTTCTCCAATGAAAATGACATGTCTTACAGAGACACTTTGTGTGTGCTTCCATAGTTAGGGAGGAGTCCATAAACACATCAAGGTTTTGGACAAGTGAATAAAAAGGAATCAAGGATTGTCCAATTGTGAGATGGGGTTGCTGAGATTATGTTGTCTTGAGGGCGGAGCGATTAGGATTGCCTCTGTTTTATCATAAGTGCTTTGCTGAAACATGTCCTGTATTGATGCTATACTGGTACAAGTCAAGAATTGATGCTATACTGGTACAAGTCAAGAATTGATGCTATACTGGTACAAGTCAAGTATTGATGCTATAGTGGTACAAGTCCAGTATTGATGCTATGCTGTATCATTAAATGGTGCTAGGGTAGCCTAGTGGTCACACTGAGGGCCTTGGTTCTATTCCCAACTTGGGTACAATGTGCGAACCCCATTTCAGGTATCCACCGCCGTGATATTGCTGGAATATTGCTAAAAGCAGTGTAACTCCCTAGTCAGTCAGTATCAGCATTGATCAGTACAAGTCAAATATTACTGCTATTCTTTGTTGCAGGAGGAGAGCAACAAGCAGTCCATGGACTGGGGAGTGGAGATTTGTCGCATAGAACTGTGAGTTCTCACATCCATGTTACATCCACATTACATCCATGTTACATCCATATCCCATCCATGTTACATCCATATCAAATCTATGTTACATCCATGTTACATCCATATCACATCCTTGTTACATCTATGTTACATCCATATTACATTCACATTACATCCGTGTTACATCCACATTACATCCATTTCACATCCATTTTACATCCATATCACATCCTTGTTACATCCATATCACATCCTTGTTACATCCATATCACATCCTTGTTACATCCATATCCCATCCATGTTACATCCATTTCACATCCTTGTTACATCCTTGTTACATCCATGTTTCATCCATATCACATCCTTGTTACATCCATGTTACACCCATATCACATCCATATTACATTCACATTACATCCATGTTACATCCACATAACATACATTTCACATCCATATTACATCCATTTCACATCCTTGTTACATCCATGTTACATTCATATCACATCCTTGTTACATCCATGTTACATCCATATCACATCCACATCACATCCACATTACATCCATATCACATCCACATCACATCCACATTACATCCATATCCCATCCACATTACATCCATATCACATCCACATCACATCCACATTACATCCACATTACATCCACATTACATCCATATCACATCCACATTACATCCATATCACATCCACCTCACATCCACATTACATCCATATCCCATCCACATTACATCCATATCACATCCACCTCACATCCACATTACATCCACATTACATCCATATCACATCCACATCACATCCACATTACATCCATATCCCATCCACATTACATCCATATCACATCCATATTACATCCATATCACACCCACCTCACATCCACATTACATCCACATTACATCCATATTACATCCACATTACATCCACATTACATCCATATTACATTAATATACATATTACCTCCTCATTTCATACACATTCTGAGTTCGATTTAAGGAACTTGATTTAAATTGCACCCGGTGCATGTTAATATGAAATCCTAGTTGCACCAGACTGAACCAGGTTGCACCAATGTCACATCAATTTATCAAAGTTGAAACATAGATGCATAAACTAGTTTTTATATATAAAATGACTTTTAATACAGATGATATAGGACATGTGCACGTAATCTTGAAGTACCCACAGTTTGATGATGTCAAACCCCAGAAAGCATGACAAAATACACGTAACAGGGAATAGTGATGTGGTATGGTAAATGTTAGTTAGTGTTAGTGTTAGTTTTGAGTGTATTCACAAGTTGTTGTGTGGACAAGTAAGCATTTGTTAGACACAAATTTGAATTCTCTTAACATGCACTTGGTGCATGTAGACATAATAGAAGGTTACATTTTTCAATAATAGTTTGCACTGGTGCATGATTTATATAGCTACATTGAGCCCTGCATATTACATCCGCATCACATCCATATTACATCTATATTACATCTATATTACATTCGGGGTGGTCGGGTAGCCTAGTGGTTAAGGCGTTTGCTCGTCACGCCGAGGACCCGGGTTCGATTGCCGACATGGGTACAATGTGTGAAGCCCATTTCTAGTGTCCCCTGCCGTGATATTGCTGGAATATTGCTAAAAGCGGCGTAAAACCATACCCACTCGCTCACTATATTACATTCATTTAACATCATTATTACACTTATTACTTATTTATTAATTATTACATTCAAGTCTCCGACATGCATTATTTCGGCCTTTCCTCCCACTTCACACTGACATGCTGTGATGAAACTGGAATACTGTTCAAAGCGGCTTAAAACACAACTCACTCACTTACTCACTCACTCGCTGTCCAGTATGCCATTCGGCAGATCACGTGTCACATCGATTGTGTTGCAGGTCTCAGGTGAAGGTCCTGCGGGGACCTCCCTCCAAGCCTCCCCCGCAGGTCTGCATGCCCCCAGGGTTGTTTGGCGGGCTGGGTGGGTCAGGAAGGGGGGCAGGGGAACAGGACAACCCAGCCTTACCCGAGGCCTTGCAACATCTAGCATCAGCTTTCCTTGCAGCTCAGGGTAAGGTACAGGCAACTCAAGGACTTTTGTGAACCATCAGGCCGGCTGCTGTCTTGTAGCTGTGATATTGCTGAGTCTGGTGTTAAAGTAGCAAATAAACATCATAATCTGATTCGCTGTGCAGAGTTGCGCCCTTGTGCACGCCAGAAACCTATAATTATGGGTTCGAATTCCGGTTCGCCCTGATTATGTTTCTAGGTTTGTCAGCACCATACCCGTGCTCGTGGGTTTCACCGAAATGGTAAACGTCTGAGACCTGCATCACTTTGGGCTTTCCTCCCACATTAAGCTGACATGTCGTGATATAACTGGAATACTGTTAAAAGCGGCGTTTAACCCAACTCACTAACGCACTCATGCATCTGTTCAGCAAGAGGTTAATATTTTATAATTTTGTTTATAGACCTATAATTTAGAGTTTCATAATTTTTATGCTTTGTAACAATATATGAAAACAAATGAAAGTTTTGTCTATTGATATGTATCATTTTATTGTTAGAGTCAGATATATGACAATACATTTTAGGTGTGAGATTTTAGGTGGATCAAAATTTTAAAATGAATTATTTGCAAACCCTATTGGACCTTTCTTTGAAATATATCCCAAGCACTCTATGTCTTAGTAGAGGCTAATAAGTAACTTCTTTGAGAGGCATTTAGAAGTTGGAGTACTAAGAAAGGATAAGATATATGGGTGAACAACTTCTTTATTACAATTGGGCGGTCGGGTAGCCTAGTGGTTAAAGCATTCGCTCTTCACGCCGAAGACCCGGGTTTGATTCCCGACATGGGTATAATGTGCGAAGCCCATTTCTGGTGTCCCCCGCCGTGATATTGCTGGAATATTGCTAAAAGCGGCGTAAAACCATACTCACTCACTCACTCACTTTATTACAATTAGGAGTGACGTTTTTTAAAACTATAACCATCAGGGGTATTTTCAATTAATGAGCTTCCACCATTCTTATTTTGTCTGTTTGTTTAGGTTGATGAAATGAATTAACATGCGCCCTTTGTAATATCGAAATCTTCATAGATCACGGGTAAACAATCAGTGTTCAGAAATGCGTATTATTGCCTTAAAGTTTATTTACGTTGTCCTTACAGACGGTAGCCCAGTCTCTTGTCACGCTCAGTTGCATTAAACAGCAAATTGCCTCACAGCAGCTAGTGAGTCCTTTCCGGCAGTGTTAGACAGCCGGGTAGAAGACAGAGATTAGTGTCCCTTTAAGTTACGGGGTAGAGTATTCACTACAAGTTGTAATTATCCCCTGCCATGAAGTGGAAGGGGGATATAGGAATGGGTACTCTTCTTCCGTCCTTACATGTATCCGACCTTCCGTCCGTTCGTCCATCATGTTTCCTTTCCTGAGCAGAACTCAAAAGCTCATCAAACTTGGCACATAGATAGGTGGTTATGGATTTTTACTAAAAATATTTGAGTTTTCATGACAACAACTTTGACTAAGACTGAAAATGGCAGTAGTGCTCCTTTCTGGGACAGATCTTGACAACTGTACAATATTTCTTCAGCAAACTTGGCACATAGATATGTCTTTGAGGACAACAACTTTGACTGGGTGGCAGTGTTCATTTCCGGAGGGCTAATGCCTTGCACACAACCGTTCATATTGGCAGGGGATATGAGTATTTCATGCATGTCACAGTTGAATCAATATTAACCTCAAATCCACTGATCTTAGGCCACAACCCGCCCGTACCAGTTGGGCAGCCCCTGCCACGCCCGGATCTACTGAAGGTAGCAGCCTTGCGTACAGAACAGGAAGTTGTGGAGGGATCCGGTCAAGGGCCGACCTTGACCCCTGAGGAGATTCTGATGGCTGCCCAGTCTGTGATCACTGAATCCCTGGTTCAGAAGGTGGCTGCGGTGTACCAGTTCCAGCTGACCGGGGACGGAGGGGGGATCTACTACCTAGACCTCAGAAATGGTTATTAACAAATTATTGCAATTAAGACCTTAATAACATCTCTTTACACAGTTGGTAGGGGTAGCCTTGTTTGTTGTTTAACTCCGCACTCAGCAATATTCCAGCTATATGATGTCGGTCTGTAAATAATGGTGTCTGGACCAGACAATCCAGTAACTGACATCATGAGCATCGATCCACGCAATTAGGATATGATATGATGACATGCATCAACCGAGTCAGCGAGCCTGACCACCCGATCCCGTTTGTGGCCTCTTTCGACATGCATGGTTGCCTTTATGGCAAGCATGGGTTGCTGAAGACCTATTCTACCCTGGATCTTCATGCATCGGGTGGTTGAGTTGTTGAGTCATCATGCCAAAAAGCCTGGTTTTGATTCTAATGTTGGTACAACATGTGAGGCCTTGTTATGGCTGGAATAGACCCGTGAAGATTCCGGGGTAGAATAGGTCTTCAGCAACCCATGCTTGCCGTAAAAGGCGACTATGCTTGTCGTAAAAGGCGACTAACGGGATCGGGTTGTCAGACTCACTGACTTGGTTGATGCATGTAATCGATCCCTATTGCGTGGATCGATGCTCATGATATTAATCACTGGATTGTCTTGTCCAGACTCGATTACTTACGGAACGCCGTCATATAGCTGAAATATTGCTGAGTGCGGGGTTAAACAACAAAGATAGATAGATATGGCTGGAATAATGCCACTACCACACTCAGTCATTCACCTTTATATAGTTTCCGTCATGTGGAAGGGTTCAATGGGAATTTTGGAAAATACTTTGTGAGTGAGTTGGGTTTAACGCCGCTTGTCAGTTTGTAGGAGGGAAGCCCCAAATGATGCAGGTCTTACCACTTTGGTGAAACCTGGCACAGGTATGGTGCAGACAAACCTAGAAACATAGTTGGGGCGAACTGGGATTTGAACCTATAGTCTGGAAGGTAATTTAAGGTACCGACGTTTAATACAATATCTGAAAAACTATCGCACCTACTCCAGTCAAAGTTGGTATGGGATTATTAAACAGTCATACATAACTGGATATTACATTTAAAGACAATCGGTGCATGAATAAAAAATCTGTCTATTTAGCTATCACTATATTTCATCAACAACCAGACCTGTTCGTCATGGGTGGAACAAGCATTCATTGTAACAGCCATCTGCATGATGCTACCCCTGAGTCACAGGGCCATATGACACAGTTGAACCAATCAACTCAACAGGGTGCACGGGAATCACGCACGCACGAATACGGTGTTAGCGTTGGGCATCTCAACATGCGTGATTCCCAAGGGACGCAACTCTGGACAGTGAATTGCGGCACTTTAGACGACTGGGCCATCTGTGCCCCCAACAGCACTGAAAACATTTCGGGGACAACCAGCATTTAATGACACGATTATGAAAACACTTACATTAACATGCCATTAGTAGCCGTATTGTTATGCGAATAAACATTCGATACAACCAATTAAAATAATGTCAGTAACTTGATCATTAAGAATTTAATGTCCCATTTGGGTTTAATTGAGCCATTAGTTAGTGAAGGTTTGATATAACCATGTCGAGGACTACAAGAGCATTGCCTAGTGTTTCTGTTCCCTCTAGGAACAAGGCAACTGAGTCATGTTATTTGCATCTTCCCGAGTCAAGAGAGTCTGGTTTCCACCCTTGCCGAACTAGGCTGGTATTATGGAGTTACATTTTGGCTGGACTAACGAGTCTATGCATAGTCCTATCAAAATCGCGCATCGAAATCGAAATCCGGTTCATAAACTGTCGTGCAGATTTCGGTCGATTGCAGGATTTGCAAAGCATATGCACCTCCAACTTGTTGTCAACAGATATTTTCCAAGTCTTTTCATGTTTTTAATCAAGGTGCTCACGTGATTTGATGCATTTCGCGATGTAAGACCCGTTTTATCACAATATAGATCTTGATTATCGATCAGATCGTCCTGACTGGGTGCCACCATTTTGTGTGAAGCAAACGCAAGTGATACGTGAGGTGGAATTTGAGGGACATAACTGGTAATAGCCACTGGTGGCGCTATGATCGAGCCCAGTAATTCCAGCCTAGTTCGGCAAGGGTGGAAACTGGACTTTTTAAGTCAGTTAACTCTCTTGCCTCGGGAAGATGTGTTATTTGGTGCTCTGTTATCCTTTCAGCCTGTAGATCTCATGTTATATAATGAGGCAGGGAGGTAGACTAATGGTTAAAGCGTTTGTCTCGCCAAAGACCCGGGTTTGATTCCCCACATTGGTACAATTTGTGAAGCCCATTTCTGGTGTCCCTCGCCGTGATATTGCTGGAATATTGCTAAAAGCGGCGTAAAAAACATACTGACTCACTCATGTATATAGTGCTCATCTTCCTGAGGCAAGGGAGTTACTTGACTAAAAGTCCAGTTTCCACTGGACTTATATTGTCAGTTAACTCCCTTGCCTCAGAAAGATGTTTAGTGCCAGACACCATGAAATAAATGAAATTGCTAAAAATGGCATAAAACTATACTCTCTCACTCATTCCTTTTCTGATATTTTATTTGTGCAATGGATTGTGAATTATGAATAGGAATAAAAACTGAAATTGATTTTATGGAAAACTTGACGATTCATAATTAAACAACTCCTCATTTTATGAACAGGGCGTGGCAGTGCCGGAAGTGGTGCCTGTCCAATTGGGGACAGTGACGCTTCTTTGATGATGACAGTCGGCGACTTGCAGGCCATGTTTGCGGGGCGCTTGAAACCATTCCAGGCCTACATGAACGGCCGACTCCGTGTAGCAGGGGACCTTGCTGCTGCCATGAAACTGGAAGAAGTTGTGAAGAAAATAGTTGGGGAATGAGAAGAGGCGAGGATGATTGTGACCAAGATATAGAATCCCCCGTAGGATTTGTTGTAAGAGCTGATATTTGTGTGTGTGTGTGTTGTTTAACATTGCAGGGTGTTGCTCATAACGTCTATCACTGGTTTGTCTCGTCTAGACTTGATTATTTACAGGCCATTGTCATTGTGGGGATTTCTGGTCCCCTACGCTGGTCACAAGAAATGACTTAATGGATCGGGTAGTCAGGAGTGGCAGTGTTGAATGTTCACAAAGAATCTAGCCAGATGACCAGACTGGCAACTCACAAAAGTTGCCTGGCAAGTTAGAAAGTTGCCAGTTCACATTTTGCAAATTGGACTACCCAACTCTTTGCAAATGATTATAACATCTCAGTCAGGTTAACAAAGCTCCACACATCATTTTGGCGTTCTCCATTGTCATGTCACACACATACTGCACACTGTTGCAGCGTTCTGAGTACACACCAAAGCTTCATGCAATGTTCTAAACCCTAGCATTAGCTGCAGTAAGATTTCGTGCAGTCATTAATGAGTCACTTGGCTGTATTCGTAGATCATCATGTCAGCAAGTATGTGTTTTATTCATATGTTTTACAAATATTGTTTAAAAAATCAACACAATCATTAGGCGTGCATTTTCTAAAAGTGAACTGCCCGAGACAAAAACGGCTTGTCACGGACGATCAGGCAGGCAAGTATTTCCAATGCAGGGATTGGTGACTTAGGTGATGCATGTCACCGAACCCCTGCTTCTTGGATCATTGCTCATAATATTAATCATTAGATTGTCTAGTCTGGACTTGATTATTTACAGGCTGTCGTCATATAGCTGGAATATTGCTGAATGCTGCATACAAACAAACAAACAAACAAACAAACAAACAACAAATCCAAAAGTGTGACATTTTTTGGAACACAACAAAGCCATAATATAAATTTCCTTCAATGTATGAAGCCTGAAAAAACAGGGCTATGCCAAAAAGTATCATTCTATTGTGTATACATATCTAGACCTTTGATACCATTGAATTGTCATTTTAATGTCCACCAATCAACGAAAGCTGGCATGACGTTGTTGGGTCAGTGTTATGGTGGAAACCCTACATGATGCTACTGTAAGAATGCAGGATGTTTTGTCTTTTTACAGTAACCATGGTAACATGTATGTTATTCATCTACTTCTGAGAAGGCCAGAGACCACATACAATGCGTTTGATGAATTATATAAAAAGTATGTAGTTACTTTCATATTATGTGATGTTTCTATTTGTATCTTTTAAATTTTGGTTTCAATCAAAAATGGAGTGAAAAAAATGTTATATTTTATTTTTTGTTTGTGCTTTTGGCTGCTGTCAGACACAAAAGATAAGATCTGTTAAATAAAACACTTTTATATAAAGGTTAGATTGTACCTCTGATGACCAGCTGTTATTTCCAAGGCCAAAAGTAAATGCATGCGATCATCCAGTAATATTATTTGAACATTTACAAACATAGGAGTGTGTGTGATCTATGGTGGGAGTAATGTGACCATTACATTAATAGCATTTTTTTCTTTCATGATTTCCCACTTAGTCTACACCGAATAACCTTTATAAAAAAGGATTGCCGGTGGGAGTTATAACTCGTCTTGTTAGAACTATTTCATATTTTGTATTGAGGCAAGAACAATGTTTTGTGTTTTTTCTTCTTCATGTTTTCTTGGTCATGCTAAGATGCTCAATACAAATTGAGAATAATGAACGTTATTCCTCATAAAACGAATGAAATAAAAGTTACAAAAAGTTACGGAAAGGTGTGAAGAATGTATACATGTTAAGTAAGGATAAGATATATATGGATGAACAACTTCTTTATTACAATTAGGAGTGACCTGTAGGTTCTAACACCATTTCACGTCACTCCTAATTGTAATAAAGTTGTTCATCCATATATTTATCCTTACTTTCTACACCAACTTTTCAATGCCTCTCAAAGAAGCATACATGTTAACTCAAACACAGCATTTAATTTTTGCAAAAGATATGGTACGTTTGTGGGATAAAAAGATACTAATTGGTCTGGTTAATTAATTGTTAAAATTAAAAAAAATAAATTAAATTTTAAAAAGTTTTGGTTGGCTTGTCTGTTAAAAAGATAATTTATTGGTCAGTTGTGGAATGGGCCTGGAAGTGCCAATGAATCGCCCTGTGCCGGTGTGAGTGTTAGGGATGTTTTAAGTCTTCATTTCTACAGGGGACACGGATGGCCCAGGCGCCGCGATTCGCTGTGCAGAGTTGCGTCCCTTGGGCACTCCAGAAACCTATGATTGTGGGTTCGAATCCCAGTTCGCCCTAATTATGTTTCTAGGTTTGTCAGCACCATACCCGTGCTCGTGGGTTTACTCACTCACTCACTCATTTTTACAATTCATAACCACATATGTCACATATGTGACGTCTTTCAACTCATGCTGAGTATATGTGAGTTCAAGGTGTATATGATTTCGCATAATCATGTTCTCACGTGATTAATATTGTGTGTGTGTGAAGTCCTGTATTTCTATGTATTGTGTATTTATTTTGAAATACTGTACTCTTCTGAAATCTAAAACAAATCTCACTCCAATGATATAACATCCTATCCCAGATCTACTTTCAGTCTGCTTAAATGAAATATGATTTTCCGACTAGGGTCATGATTGTCTTTAATTAAACATTGGTGTCCACAAATAACATATAAGTTTCCTAGCTAGGGCTGGGACGGGTAACTCGGGTACTCTGGTCGGGTGGATACTGAGTAGGACCTGGGTAAACACAAGACTATCCGGATCGTGGTAAGTCCCGTGATGTATTGTTTCATGACAAAAATTCACTATAATTACATGGTTACATAACAATTTTAAGTCTCTAATGTTCGCATTCCTTCAGACTTATAAATGTTTGAACAAAGATAAAACTTCAGCCAACTTCAGTCTATGCATGACCACATCGTTTCATACGTGTATCTAAATACAGTTTGCCAGGACTACTGTCATCCCAAATCGGACATTTTGTACCTATCTCTTGACACCAACAGCGGGCACCCGGGTAGGGTCGGGTAATAGGGGTGTGGGCAGCCGGTAGTAAATTTGGACTCGTCCCAGCCCTAATGTGCACTTCATGACCTGAAGAAATGGCGTTTTCGCTCAGGGCTGCACTGTTCGTGAAAGAGGCAGAAATGTTGTTCTCTGAAAAATGATTGGTTGTGTCCTTATGAATTTACGTCTGCACCAAGAGTACCCGGGGCTTCGGTCCTGTCCACACTGAAGCACATGCAGCACATGTGGTGTCTCCTTGGCCAAGTGACTTCGTTCGAAATGTACCTCTGTTAACCTCTAGCGCCTATCAGGCAGCTTGGGCTGTATACTCCCCAGGGAGCTGAGAATGATTCTTGAGTGCACACTGATCCAGTGACCGTGGTAATAATAGCGCTCTTAGCATGCCCCTGAGTGGTGTGGAAATATGCGGAATATAAGTGGCCTATAATTATATAAAACTTTTGATCCATCTTCAAAATCGGGGAATTAGGAGATAAACGTTTTCTTTGTTAAGTTTTGAGGTGGTTCATTGTTGATTGAACACCGCTAAATGTCATTTAAAACCAAACACGTAAACATGAGGTTTTATGTGTAACATTTAGCAAGGAAGAGAATTTGTGGATGTCAACTTCTTTATTATAGGGAACACCGCCTCCGTGGTCTTGTGGTAGAGCGTCCGCCCGGAGAGCGGAAGGTCCAGGGTTCGATCCCGGGCCGCGTCATACAAAAAGACGTTAAAAGATTGTACTTGTTGTTACCCTGTCTGGCGCTCGGCATTAAGGGGCTAAAACAAGGACTGGTCGGCTCGGAGTCAGTATACTGTGTCTGAGTGGGGTATTCATGTTAAACTGCGGCATGGTATCTCAGTGAGCTAGCACTATAAATCGGCATCAGTCCGGACTAGTACAAGCAGCCACACACACACATACGCGTGCATGCACGTCGCTATATAAGTGAAATAATCTTGGACGCGACGTTAAACCCAATTTCACCTCACCTATTATAGGGAACACAATTTTTCGGATGAAGGACTAAGTGTATAATCTGAAAATTGTGTTCCTCATAATAACGAAGTTAACATCCACAATTCTCTTTCTTATTTGTATCACTTCTAAATGCCTTTCAAAGACTAAACATTTAGCAGTTATTCAACAAGGAACCACCTCACAATTGATCCATTATACTTTGACTGAAATGTGTTTTATAAAACACACTATTTTTCCTGTGCACATATTCAGTGCAATGATGCAGTCAGAAGTGATTATCCCTCATTGACCTTGTTAACCACTTCAAATTTAGCCAAATTAACCAATCAATTAGATCCTCCTTCAATGTCATGGCAGTACATCATCTCACCTGACGTGTGAAGGTACGGGGTAGAATAGGTCTTCAGCAACCCATGCTCGTCATAAAAGGCGACTATGCTTGTCGTAAGAGGTGACTAACGGGATCGGGTGGTTAGGCTCGTTGACTTGGTTGATGCATGCCATCGTATCCCAATTGCGTGGATCGATGCTCATGATGTCAATCCATCGAGTGTCTGATCCAGACTTGATTATTTACAGACCGCCGTCATATAGCTGGAATATTGCTGAGTGTGGCGTAAAACAACAAACAACCAAACAACAAACCAACATCATCTCATCATCAGCCTGATAATAAGCAGCTGTAATTTGAAAGTTGCTCCTTCCTTTCATGGAGATGTATGATATCCTAAGATCCGCGAATCATTCTGTGTATTAAGCCTTTTGGTATGATCATTTTTACATGTATGTCCTCATTAAATTTGTGAAGTTTGCATAATATCCATCATTACAAAGTTTGTTTGAAAATTTGAAAGTTTGAATGTATTAACTGTGCCATTACAGTTACATTACTGGCACCCCAATACAAAACATTTCAAACTCTGGAGACAAATATTCTCTATTTATTGGCCGCACTGCAATTAATCTGTTGGATACAATATTAACCTTTTGCTTGAGATGCAAATACAAGTTTTTTGGTGCAGACCTGAATTGATAAGCACACAGTTAACATTTTTGGAAGGATTTACGCAACGTTGCTTCAAATAATTTCCTTGGCTTTAGTCCAAGTAACTGTTATGCACTTGTATTATGTCGTTTACACCCATCATGGGGCTGGTGTTTTGTTGCAAGTTAAGCAATACGTCCTATATACATGTACATGTTTGTGCAACTCTCAATGAACTTGTACGTGATGACCGTATGTTTAATACTCTTTCTGTGTGGGTTTCATTTTCATCATATTTTTTATTAATAAAACCGAATGAACATAGTGAAATACGTTTTTTTTGTTTTTACATATTACATATTTGTAGACATATGTATTGTGAAATACAATAATTATTTTTAACTCATATTCTTTTTCAGGACATATCCAGTGAACAATTATTTTGTGTATAAGACTTGAGGCAAAATGATTTTTTAAAGTATTCTGGAATGAATTGTTTTTGTAAAAGAAAATTCAGATTAGATCCATATAATTTGGTTTGCTCTTTACTGTTTTCATTCGGAGTACACAGAGTGTATTTCAACCATTGCCAGGACAAACCAAGTTAAAAATGTTCATTCATAATACATGTATACTACTCCAAAGGACCCGTGAAGATCCGGGGTAGAATAGGTCTTCAGCAACCCATGCTTGCCGTAAAAGGCGACTATGCCTGTCGTAGGGGGCGACTAACGGGATCGGGTGGTCAGGCTTGCTGACCCGTGAAGATCCGGGGTTGAAAAGGTCTTCAACAACCATGCTTGCTGTAAAAGGCGACTATGCTTGTCGTAAAAGGTGACTAACGGGATCGGGTGGTCAGGCTCGCTGACTTGGTTGATGCATGTCATCGATCCCAATTGCTCATGATATCTATCAGTCACTGGATTGTTTGGTCCAGACTCGATTATTTACAGACCGCCGGCATACAGCTGGAATATTGCTGAGTGCGGCGTTATATAACAAACCAACCAAAGAACCAAAGACCACCCGATTTTTTATATTAATAAAGTTAATCTGTGGGTGGGTATTGCAACATACAACCTTCAAATTGCGTGTATTCTTTGACTTGTATTGAGTAGTATATATTTCATAATTGCACACACTATGAAACAAAATAATAATATTCTCATACTTAAAATTCTTTCCTTGTTTGTTGTTTAAAATCCTGCCTTCTTTGTCTACCGGAGTCTGCCCATAGAACGACCGCCTCCGTGGTCTAATGGTAGAGCGTCCGCCCGGAGAGCGGAAGGTCCGGGGTTTGATCACCAGCCGCGTCATATCAAAAGACGTTAAAAGTTAGTACTTTTTGTTACCCTGTCTGGCGCTCGGCATTAAGGGGCTAAAACAAGGACTGGTCGGCTCGGAGTCAGTATACTGTGTCTGAGTGGGGTATTCATGTTAAACTGCGGCATGGTATCTTAGTGGGCTAGCACTATAAATCGGCATCAGTCCGGACTAGTACAAGCAGCCACACACACATACGCGTGCATGCACGTCGCTATATAAGTGCAATAATCTTGGACGCGACGTTAAACCCCGTTTCACCTCACCTCACCTGCCCATAGAACAGAAGGTTGCATGGTGATTCAACCCCTCAACTCATACAAACGCTGCCTGACGCTTGACATTAAGGAAATAAAACAAGGACTGGTTGGCGCAGAGTCAATTTCCTGTTCCGAGTGAGGTATCCATGTTAAACTGCGGTATGGTATCACCATGGGTTAGCCATTAGTCCAGACTAGTACAAGCTGCCACAAAAACCGTACCACACGTGTATGCTTAATGTTTGTTTGTTTGTTTGTTGTTTAAAGCCGCACTCAGCAATATTCCAGCTATATGACGGCGGTCTGTAAATAATCGAGTCTGGACCAGACAATCCAGTGATTAATATCATGAGCATTGATCCATGCAATTGGGACCGATGACATGTATCAACAAAGTCAGCGAGCCTGACCACCCGATCCCGTTAGTCGCCTCTTACGGCAAGCATGGGTTGCTGAAGATCTATTCTACCCCGTATCTTCACGGGTCACACGTGTATGCACCATACACGTCGCTATATCAGCGCAATAAACGACGTTAACCCCATTTTACCTCACCTCAACTATTTAAAGCAGTAGTCAGCAATATTCAAATTAAGGTACTTCACTGTGGCTGTGGTCAAGTCTGAACCAGACACACCAGTGATTGATATTGTGAGCCACATCCCATGCTATCTGATGCGACACACACTTACTGAGCCAATCTGTCCGAACTATGCAGACAATATGATCTTGTTTCCACAGAAAAAAGGCGGGCGGTGGTTGCAGTGTTCACATCAAAGACTAGGGATTATGTCCGTGGAATATTGCTTGAATCGAGTGCACACATACTACCCCCCTATAAGAAGGTATTCCCTGTCAAGATACGATTCTAATTCTTCATCGTATCGTGACTGTGAAAGGTCATAGCCCAGATACACGTACTGTTGTAGTGAGTGAGTATTGTTTTACGCCGCTTTTAGCAATCTTCCAGCAATATCACGGCGGGGGACACCGGAAATGGGCTTCACACATAGTACCCATGTCGGGAATCGAACCCGGGTCTTCGGCGTGACGAGCGAACGCTTTAACCACTAGGCTACCCGACCGCCCCCGTACTGTTGTAATAGAAATTATTACGGATGTATTTCAGTGGTACGGTAGTCTCGGTAATCTAAGACACTTCAATTTATTTTTTATTCGTCACCACTCACCCCTTTCCGTAACCAAGAAGACTCGTCCCCCTATCGATGAATGTTAAGTGCTAAAATGCGACATGACTTCAATAACTTAGGTCAAAGAATCCCTCAGGAATACTTTTTGTATTTTACATGTCTTGCATTTAAAAATATACCCAAGATACATTTAAATGTGTTCAACTATACTGTGTAATAATGTAAGTCCCAATGTGTTAAACTTTTCAATAGCATCGGGAATATCTATGATATGGGGGAAATATGCGTGAATCATTACGCAACGAGTTGACAATTCTTTTAGAGATGCCCGTTTGCGCTAAGACGGAACCCAGTCGCAAAGAATGGCCGCAAGAGAGGTACGAGTCGCTATTCGGCTTGTCCCGGAATAACACAAGATGATCACGAATGTCCCCTATCGATGAATGTTATGTGCGTAAATACGACAAACCAATCAGCAGGCGCGAATGACTTCAAGTACTTCGGTCAAAGAATCTATCAGGAATATTTTTATTTTATTTTACATATGTCTTGCATTTAAAAATATACCCAAGTTACAGTTAAATGTGTTCAATCATGCTGTATAATACAGTAAGTCCCGATGTGTTTTCAATAGCACCAGGAATATATATGATATATGGGGGAAGTATATATGAGTCATTGCGCAACGAGTTGACCATTCTTTTAGCTATGCCCGTTTGCGCTTAGACGAAACGCAGTCGCTAAATTGGCCACAAGAGGGACACGAGTCGCTAATCGGTTTGTCCCGGAAATACACGAGTTTGTCACGAATGTGCAATTTACAGTGCAGAGGTGCGTCACGATTATGCGGTAGAATCACAGCTACCCCATAGCGATATACTCTTCGCGGAGCTCTCTATACAATCGCTGCCACCAGTCAAAGCTCCCTGCTGTGCCATGCTTGGAGTTGAACTCGCAACCGACTGACCGTTATGTTTACAAACAAGTGATGACTGCCGTCACGCCGAATTCACTTACCAGCGCTAAATTATTTAAATGTTTGTCAATCTGAATTTCAGTTTCATTTTAACTATCATGTAATTAATATAGTAAGAATGTGAGGGGAAGTTGGGCGATTTTCCGTTCGTCTGCATTCTCTAACCAAATCTGGTCTGTCGGAAACGTTTTTAAAATTCACAATGATGGCATTCCTAAAGACATAAACAAAAGTGAAAACGTTACTACATTTGGGGTTAGAGGGCAAATTTCAAGATTCTTGTAATGGCCGCGCCAATACTGAAGACACATTCGTCACCACTCGCCCCTTTCCGTAACCTGCAAACAGACTCACCCCCCTATCGACGAATGTTATGTGCGAAAATACGACAAACCAATCAGAATGCGCGTACGACATCAGGTACTTCGATCAAAGAATCCCTCGGGAATAATTTTTGATTTTACAAATGTCTTGCATCTAAACATATACCCTTGATACAGTTAAATATGTTTAGTCATACTGTATTAATACCGTAAGTCGAGATGTGTTTTAAATAACATCTGGAATACGTATGACATTGGGGAAATATTAGTGAATCATTACGCAACGAGTTGACAATTCTTTTAACTATGCCCATTTGCGCTTAGAAGGAACCCAGTCTCAAAAATTGCCGCGAGAGTGGTACGAGTCACTCTTCGGCTTGTCCCGGAATAACACGAGTTGGTCACGCTATTCGGCTTGTCCCGGAATAACACGAGTTGGTCACTAATGACTGAAGGCAGCGATGTTACTGAGAGTGTATTGTAACGAAGAAGCTTGGGTAGAATCCTATGAATGTGGCTTTGAATCCCAGATACATGTGGTGGCACGTGGTCACAAATCAAGCGAAGTTGAGCAACATTGGTCGCGTCGAGTAGGAGGTTGCAATTGGATGACCATGTTTGACAGCTTGATTTCTGAGAATATCAAAGGCTTAGGCTCCGCCCCACACTAAAGCACTAGTTGTGTTACCTTAGTTTGGTTGGTTTGTTGTTTAACGCCGTCAAACCAGCTGTTTCAATCAGAGGTGGTTTTTGTGTTTGTTTGTTTTGTTTGTTTGTTGTTTAATGCCGCACTCAGCAATATTCCAGCTATATGGGGGCGGTCTAAATAATCGAGTCTGGACCAGACAATCCGGTGATTGATATCATGAGCATCGATCCATGCAATTGGGATCGATGACATGCATCAACCAAGACAGCGAGCCTGACCGCCCGATCCCGTTAGACGCCTCTTACGACAAGCATAGTCGCCTTTTACAGCAAGCATGGGTTGCTGAAGACCTATTCTACCCCGGATCTTCACGGGTCTGTTACCTTAGGCAAGCATGCTGTTTATCTCCGGCTTACCGAAATGTGAGCCCTGGAGATATAGATGATGATGGCAAGTGACGAGTGTCAGGTAGAATGAGATGGTAATGTGATGGTAACCTTCTAGCGTCTCACAGGCAGCTTGGTTGTATACTCCCCAGGAAGCTGAGAATGAAAATCGGGTGCTCACTGATCCATTGATAATGTAGCGCTTTGAGCCTGTTTTAAAGTTGGATTTGGCGCATTATAGATATGCACTTTACGTTACTATACATGTCGTGAGAGGCGACTAATGGGATCAGGTGGTCAGGCTCGCTGACTTGGTTGATCCATGTCATCGATCCCAATTGCGTGGATCGATGCTCATGATGCCACTCACTGGATTATCTGGTCCATTATTCATAGACCGCCGTCATATAGCTGGAATATTGCTGAGTGCGGCGTTAAAAAACAAAAACAACAACAAACAAAACCAAAGTGGCAAACCCCAAAGACCTGCATCATTTCGGGCTTCCCTCCCACATTAAGCTGACACGCCGTGACATAACTGACACAAAAACATAAAATCTGTAAAGGTTAGAGAGTAAAATCTTTATTTCCGAGTAAAACATTCAACAAAATAATTTCATACTTGAAATGTCATTATATTTATGTGAATGGTCGATGGTAGTTGCTAGTAAATACATTGATCTCATAATTTATGCCGTACCACGATTTGTACAAAGATCTACCCAACTGAAACCTGCCTTCTATAAAGACTGATCTCAGCACTACAGTCACCCAGCAGAACAGACCAGATATAAGACAAAAAACAAATATCAGATATTCAGCGCGAATGACCTGTCCTATTGGTAGGTTCGTTATGTGAATTCCTGCGTTGTCACATTTAATTAACTGCTTTGTACATGGCCCCGATAGGTTTAAGCATCTGTATTCCCACAGACTAATTCCTATTATAAAAAAACATCATATTAGTCAGAAAAGTAAGGTTCATCCCCTGCAGTAGAAATCTAGGCAACACCAATATGAAAAAGTTGCATATAGCGTCTTGGAGAACCTTCTTTAAGCGAAGTATGTTTTCATGTATAGTATGTGTGTGATAGCATATACCATGACAGCATATACATACTGTGATAGCATATACCATGATAGCATTTACCCTGATAGTGTATACCACGACAGCATATACATACTGTGGTAGCATATACCATCACAGCATTTACCCTGATAGTGTATACCACGACAGCATATACATACTGTGGTAGCATATACCATTACAGCATTTACCCTGATAACATATACCATAGCAGCATAAACACACTGTGGTAGCATATACCATGATATTGTTTACCATGACAGCATTTACCCTGATAGTGTATACCATGACAGCATATACATACTGTGGTGTCATATACCATGATAGTATAATATTATTTATATTTAACCTGATAGTGTATACCATGACAGCATATACATACTGTGGTAGAATACATCGTGATAGCATTTACCCTGAGAGCATAGACATACTTTGATGTCATATACAATGATAGCATATACCATCACAGCATTTAACCTGATAGTGTATACCATGACAGCATATACATACTGTGGTAGAATACATCGTGATAGCATTTACCCTGATAGCATATACCACGGCAGCATATACATACTATGGTAGCATATATCATGATATTATATACCATCACAGCATTTACCCTGATAGTGTATACCATGGCAGCATATACACACTGTGGTAGCATATACCATGATAGCATATACCATCACAGCATTTACCCTGATAGTGTATACCATGACAGCATATACCATCACAGCATTTACCCTGATAGTATATACCATGACAACATATACACACTGTGGTAGCATATATCATGATAGCATATACCATCACAGCATTTATCCCGATAGTGTATACCATGACAACATATACATACTGTGGTGCCATATACCATAATAGCATATACCATCACAGCATTTACCCTGGTAGTGTATACCGTGACAGCATATACCATCACAGCATTTACCCTGATAGTGTATACCATGGCAGCTTATACATACTGTGGTAGCATGAACCATGATAGCATATACCATCACAGCATTTACCCTGATAGTGTATACCATGACAACATATACATACTGTGGTAGAATATACCCTGATAACATATACCATGACAGCATATACATACTATGGTAGAATAAACAGTGATAACATATACCATGGCAGCATATCACCCATGGTATTATATATCTGATAACATATACCATGACAGCATATACATCGTAGTATATACCCTAATGGCATATACCATAACATGATGTACCATGTTAGCTGTGACAAGATATAAATGCTAGGATGTACCATGATATACCACGATAGCGTGTCCATTACTGCATGATATCTTGGTCCTTAAATGACAAAAACCGTGTAAGTATATACAATAATGGAATTGCAGTGACAGCAAATACCACGATTTCATGTGCATGCTAGTACTAGTATACCACCATACATATACCATGCCAGTATACGAGTATACCAAGATAACGTATACCGTACTGGCGTGATATTATAAAAAGCTCACACAGTCATTCCTGAGTACATGGGCGCGAGAATCGGATCGTTTATCTCGTGTTTACTTCAAGCCACGTGCTGATGTTGCTTGTCTGCATCCCCCGGGTATTTTTCATCCGTCTTATCTTTCCTGGCGCCCTCCTCTGGGTGGTTGTCCTGGTGATAGGCCGTCATTACCACTGACGGTGTGGGGTTAGGTGGTTTCCTAGGGAACCGAAATGTAGGGTGTGTGAATGAATGCTGTTTTACATCACAGAAATATTCCGTCAAAAGCAGTGAGTGAGTTGGGTTTTACGCCGCTTTTAACAGTATTCCAGTTATATCACGGCGTGTCAGCTTAATGTGGGAGGAAAGCCCGAAGTGATGCAGGTCTCAGACGTTTACCACTTCGATGAAACCCACGAGCACGGGTATGTTGCTGACAAACCTAGAAACATAATTGGGGCGAACCGGGATTCGAACCCACAATCTTAGGTTTCTGGCGTGCCCAAGGGACCCGTCAAAAGCAAAGAGGCATGCAGCTAATTGAGTCTGTACCATGAACGCTTAACGCCGTCGGGGACGACGACACACAGGAAACAGGCCCTCGTTCCACAAAACGATCTTAGTACAGTAAAGTACGGTTATAACGAACACGCTTATAACGAACTGACTGATATAACGAACTTATTTTTTAGTCTCGGCCATTTGTTGTATATATGCTGTATATATGCTTATAATGAACTACGGTTATAACGAACTAAAATAAGTGGTCCCTTTGAGTTCGTTATAACCGTAGTTTACTGTACTAGGACCATCGTAACCCTATGTCCAAGATGAGTGTTACGATCATCCTAGCGCTAAGATCGCTTTGTGAAACGGGGCCTAGATCGCATATTGTAACAACCAGAATGACATTATTCGGCTCATATGACAAGCATGGGGTATTTGGGACCTAATCCCAAATGTTGCGTAAACATGTTGACTGTAAAACAGCTGTAACATCAACTGAAACTCTTTGAAAACGTACATGTGAACTTTTGTAACATTTGGCAAATGTGGGAGGAAAGCCCGAAGTGATGCAGGTCTCAGACGTTTACCACTTCGGTGAAACCAACGAGCATGGGTATGGTGCTGACAGACCTAGAAACATAATCGGGGAGAACCAGGATTCGAACCCACAATCATAGGTTTCGCCACTCTTCACAGCGAATCGCGGCGCCTTAGACGACTGGGCCACCCGTGCCCCCATGGATAGCTATGGAATTGTGGACTATGCCATAATAAATTATAGGTGTGGCATTGCTGACCACACCGTCGAGACTCCACCTGTGTCCAGCCTTTATATAGACATGTACCTATGTTATTGCTGATATTGCAGATTATACGGTAATGTAGTTGTGATGTTGCTAGGTCCGCAGTAGTAAAGCCGTAATTGATCCACTGTTATACCCGTTGATTATGCCGTAAACTGACTAAACTATACTATTGATGCTGCGACCTTGTTGCAAGACTTGCATACCTGCCGAAGGCGATGCCATCTTCGATGGTCTCGGGGAGATCTCTGTTCAAGGTCTCCGGCAGGAGCAGCGCCAGAAGTCCCGCCACCACCGACGCCGCCCCAAACACCAACAACGGCAGAGCTCTCCCGAAATCTCCTCCCACTAATTTGCCCTGAAGAACAAACCACAACGATGGAAATATTTACTGACGTCTTTCAAATAATGGTGAAAGATTTAATTTTAGGCTTATAATTAGATGGCCCTGTCAAACTGACGAGGCGACAGTAAGCAGAGTGAGTGAGTGAGTGTGGTTTTACGCTGCTTGTAGTAATATTCTAGCAATGTCACGGCGGGGGACACCAGAAATGGGCTTCACACATTGTACCCATGTAGGGAATCGAACCCGGGTCTTCGTTGTGACGAGCGAAAGCTTTAACCACAATGCTACCCGTCCGCCCTGACAGTAAGCAAAGGTCTGTTCTGCAATAAAGGGAGAATTTTTTTATTTAAAACAAATTGTGAAATGAATGAATATTGTTTGATGTCGCAGTATCAAGCGCCTACTAATAAGCGCATCTTGGCGAGAGAAACAAGTGGCTGAAAACATACGCAACCATCCACGCCACCGGGACACTATGGTACATAGTCAGTCTGGTCACCATGTGACCAACCGATCCACATTTTTGTATGATCTTGCGACCGGGGACTATTCCTCTGTTCTCGGTTCTTAGTCGTGCCAGGATCCGCTGATTGTATATTTGCGACTTGAAACCGCAAGTATTCATAATCGCCCTCCGTGTACTTCACCAAAATAGTAATAGTAAAATCACTGCTGCCCTAACATCCAGCAGACCGCCTCCGTGGTCTAGTGGTAGAGCGTCCGCCCGGAGAGCGGAAGGTCCGGGGTTTGATCCCCGGCCGCGTCATACAAAAAGACGTTAAAAGATGGTACTTGTTGTTACCCTGTCTGGCGCTCGGCATTAAGGGGCTAAAACAAGGACTGGACTCGGAGTCAGTATATTGTGTCTGAGTGGGGTATTCATGTTAAACTGCGGCATGGTATCTCAGTGTGATAGCACTATAAATAGGCATGAGCCCGGACTAGTACAAGCTGCCACACACACACGTGCACGTCGCTATATAAGTGCAATACTCTTGGACGCGACGTTAAACCCAATTTGACCTCACCTCCCCCAACATCCAGCAGCTACGCCGTGATGTAAATGAAACACTTTCCAAAGCGGAGTTCACTGATATAGCTCTCCCCTGTCTAGCCTACAAAACCGTATATATTGTGACTAACCGCATCTGCAACATAGGGTGCAATCATCCCACCGACTCTTGCCCAGGAAGAGCTGGCGCCGACGGCGACGTTGCGCACAACGGTGGGGAAGAGTTCCGAAGAGAAGACGTAGACAACGGCGAAGCACATTGCAGTACCCATCTTTCCGATCATCGCCAGCGTGATTGTGATCCATTGGTACGCTATGGTGTGAAGAAATAATGGTTATGTAGAGGTGTACAGGTATAGATTGTTCTGGGTCGGTATTGTTCCAGAATTTTGGCCTCAAATTTTAACCCAGCTGATAAATTATTTACTGGACGTCTTTAAGAATACCATGGTATACTATGTATTTTTGTAAATCAGTTTGTTTCAAAATATACTTGAGATTTATTTTTGCTTCAAGTTTTACCCCAACAGAATACATGGTCACTGGACGTCTTTAATTATAAAATGGTACACTATGTATTTTTGTGTATCGTTTTTTTTCCAGAATGTACTGGAGAATTATTGTTGTCTTAGGCTTAAGCCTGATTGATAAATTGTTCACTGAATGACCTGCTATATAAAAATGAGTAAAGGGTCCAATAAAAGTTGTATGGCTCCTCTGTTTTTAAAACAAATGTTGCACTGTTTTGAAAGTGAAACTGTTTTTTCTAACCACTTCTCGTTGGATTCAAAGTTTAATTCAGAGCTGTTAATCTACAGGTTTCCTAGATCGACATTGAAAAGGTCATATTGGATAAAGTTTTCACTACGACATCGTATCCTTTGGAAGATTTGTGACAGGGTCTTTGGCAACGCTTAAACCACCAGTCTACTCCAGCGTCCACGGATCAATGGACACAATATTATAAGGATCCTTTTGTCTCCCTGGAAAACTTTGAATTATCTGGCATTTTTAACGTTGACAATTTGCAACTATCCATTTTTTCTTTCCCAAGTGTTTTCCTTCCAGGACGATTCGATAGTAACCACAGTCACATGACAATGGCCCACATTAGCTCCAAATGCTGCTTTCTCCAACGTGGAGCAGGCCCGTGACCCAGGTCAACCTTTTAGTGTATGTTTGTACTGTATATCTATCTAGCCTGGGTGAAATATTTTCTCCACTATTATAAACGCGATGCCCGTGACCCAGGTCGACCTTTTAGTGTATGTTTGTACTGTATATCTTTCTAGCCTGGGTGAAATATTTTCTCCACTATTATAAACGCGATGCCCGTGACCCAGGTCTACCTTTTAGTGTATGTTTGTACTGTATATCTATCTAGCCTGGGTGAAATATTTTCTCCACTATTATAAACGCGATGCCCGTGACCCAGGTCGACCTTTTAGTGTATGTTTGTACTGTATATCTATCTAGCCTGGGTGAAATATTTTCTCCACTATTATAAACGCGATGCCCGTGACCCAGGTCGACCTTTTAGTCAATGTTTGTACTGTATATCTATCTAGCCTGGGTGAAATATTTTCTCCACTATTATAAACGCGATGCCCGTGACCCAGGTCTACCTTTTAGTGTATGTTTGTACTGTATATCTATCTAGCTTGGGTGAAATATTTTCTCCACTATTTTAAACGCGATGCCCGTGACCCAGGTCGACCTTTTAGTCTATGTTTGTACTGTATATCTATCTAGCCTGGGTGAAATATTTTCTCCACTATTATAAACGCGATGCCCGTGACCCAGGTCGACCTTTTAGTCAATGTTTGTACTGTATATCTATCTAGCCTGGGTGAAATATTTTTTCCACTATTATAAACGCGATGCCCGTGACCCAGGTCTACCTTTTAGTCTATGTTTGTACAGTATATCTATCTAGCCTGGGTGAAATATTTTCTCCACTATTATAAACGCGATGCCCGTGACCCAGGTCAACCTTTTAGTGTATGTTTGTACTGTATATCTATCTAGCCTGGGTGAAATATTTTCTCCACTATTATAAACGCGATGCCCGTGACCCAGGTCGACCTTTTAGTCTATGTTTGTACTGTATATCTATCTAGCCTGGATGAAATATTTTCTCCACTACATGTATTATAAACGCGATGCCCGTGACCCAGGTCGACCTTTTAGTGTATGTTTGTACTGAATATCTATCTAGCCTGGGTGAAATATTTTCTCCATTATAATAAACGCGATGCCCGTGACCCAGGTCGACCTTTTAGTCTATGTTTGTACTGTATATCTATCTAGCTTGGGTGAAATATTTTCTCCACTATTAAAGACGGAAACATCCACTAAAATCACTAAACACGAACCTTATTATAAGTTGTCCTGAGAATATTTATACCTCATGCTAAACCGTATGTCCATCGACCAATCGTTGATCAGTGTAATCTCCTTCTGTGGGAGTGTGTGATAACGTAATGAAAACCCGGTACTTGCATTCCCCAAGGTAGAGTATGGAAAAGATGGTGAGGAGGCAGGCGACCCCGCCGATCAGCATGGACCCACACATCATGACCTTCCTGCCCACGCGGTCCAGCAGAAACAAACACAAGGTCACCCCGGGGAAGTCCATCAAGCTGGCCAGGAAGAAGGTCAGAAAGAAGTTGTCCGAACCAAGGTCTTGTGTGTTGAGGGACAGTCCATAGTACGCCATGCTGGTCACTAGCCTGGATGGACACGATGGACATTCATTACCAACCCCGGTGACCGTTGGTCATCTTACGTTCCAGATCTATTGGTCTAAAGGGTAATGTTGGCTAAATAAAAAGGTTTGATGTTGAGATAGATTTATGTTGTTTAACGCCGCACTCAGCAGTATTCCAGCTATATGACGGCCGCTTTTAAATAATCGCGTCCAGACGAACGGTGATTGATAACACGAGCAACGTCCCATGCCGTCAGGGAACGATGACACGCAATCAACCACGTCACGGAGTCTGACCATCTCATCCATTTGTTCACCTCATACGACCTGCGTAGGTTGCTGTGGACCAATGGCTTATGTCAAGGTGGGGGGGCATCTAGAATGTGAGACTCACATCATATAATTGCCAGGAATCGAAGTGCGTCTTCAGATTCACAAGCCAAGAACGCTTTTACCACTCGTCTTAATTTCCAAAAATGTATCATGTATTAATTTTCTGCCGAATTACATTTAATTTTGTCTCCTCGAAATATTTTCCATATGAATATTTGACTACCATTGTTTGGTCACTCGAACAAATTGAATTCGATATATGGTTTAGAACTATATAATTTAGTGGATCATCATACACTTTCGTCGTATATGTCGTCATTCTTGTGGTCTCTGACTATGGATATTTACGCGAGGAAGTGCACACTCACCAGTTAAAGAATATGATGAGAGTTCTAAACAACATCACTGAAGACGTGAACAGCTGCAGGAAAGAAGTGATGTTTCCTGCCTTTTCATCAGAAGTCTCTTCCGATTCTGCACAAAGCTTGTCAGGGAGAATCACCTTGTTGACCTCAGCTGCCTTTCGGATGATCGCTTCCGCTTCCGGTATTCTGCCCTGTGTGATGAGCCATCTTGGAGATTCGGGGATTATCCTAAGAGAGTGAGTGAGTCAATACCTTTAGTCGCCCCTGTTAGGTTAAGGCAGATCTATCTGACTGAGGACACCGTTTTTGTTTATTATTTACACCGACTGTAATATTCCAGCAACATTATGGCGGGCTTTGGACAGCAACTAAGGTCTGTACCCATGTTGGGAATCAAAGCCGAGCCATAGGCTCACCCGAAGTTTGTTTGTTGCTTAACGCAGTCAGCAATATTCCAGCTATATGACGGCGATCTGTAAATAATCGAGTCTAGACCAGACATTCCTATGATGGACATTCAGAGCATCCTCCTGCGCAATTTGGATACAAATGAGAGAGCCTGACCAAACATCTAGTCTCTGAAATGAACATATCGTACAGAAAAAAACAGTTGTTCAGTTATCTTAATAAAATATAATAAAAAGGGAGCCCAGTGATTCTCCTGATACTGCAGTAATCTAGACTTGCCAAACATTATAGACTTGCAAGGGCTGTATTTGATAATTATATATTTGTACCAGGGTCTGTAAGACAGACTAAGTCTGACCAACCGATCCCTTTAGTCGCCTCTTACAAGCAGTCGCCTTTTACGACAAGCATGGATTGCTGGAGACCTATTCTAACCCGGATCTTCACGGGCGGCTCACCTTAGGAGAAACATGATACCGGAAGTTGATGAACAAGACTATTGACCCGTGCTGACATTGGTTGTGTATGATACAGGAAGATATTTACCACCAATAAGGAAGGAAGACAGCGACGATGCACGTGACAGTAAGCTCCATGTGGTGCCAGTCTCTTATCACGAAACCCAGTCCGTCAATCAGGAGAAGGCCAATAGCGAAGAAGTATTTGATGACCATTCCTGCCCAGATGCGTTTGGATGGTCCAACGATCTCCAGACCTTTAACACCAGGAATGCATGATGCAAAGAATAACGACTGAAATCAATCGTGAACTCTTTGCGACGTGTATGTTTAAATAGTGTGGTTTTGTTTGAATATGAGAAGAAGGGAAAGAGGTGGATAGAGGTAGAGTAAATTAATGTAAATTTCAGGTAAACTGGCGGACAAAAGAAAGTATATGTTTGATAGTGGCCAAAAGTGAAACAAGCAATAAATGGTTATTTGTTGGTGATTTATTGAGTTACATGGCACAGTTGTGCCCTCGACCAGAGAGAGAGAGAGAGAGAGAGAGAGAGAGAGAGAGAGAGAGAGAGAGAGAGAGAGAGAGAGAGTGAGTGAGTGAGTGAGTATGGTTTTAAGCCGCTTTTGGCAATATTCCAGCAATATCACGGCAGGGGACACCAGAAATGGGCTTCACACAGAGAGAGAGAGAGAGTGAGAGAGAGAGAGAGAGAGAGAGAGAGAGAGAGAGAGAGAGAGAGAGAGAGAGAGAGAGAGAGAGAGAGAGAGAGAGAGAGAGTGAGTGAGTGAGTGAGTGAGTGAGTGAGTGAGTATGGTTTTAAGCCGCTTTTAGCAATATTCCAGCAATATCACGGCGGGGGACACCAGGAATGGGCTTCACACACAGAGAGAGAGAGAGAGAGAGAGAGAGAGAGAGAGAGAGAGAGAGGGAGAGAGGGTAAATACATGCATCTTACGATATTAAACACAACGCACGCCCTACCATTAAGGTCTTTCTTTAAAGCTAAGTTTCTTTTTCCGCTGTATACCATCTACTATGCACACTAAGGCAGCGATCAATGAAAGACGTGAAGGGGAATACCGAGCACATAGGCCGCCGTGAAGTAGCCAGAGGTGGAGGCCCCCAGCAGGAACCTCAGCACAACGTACACGTAGAAGTTGGGGGCAAAGGCCATGGCTATCCCAGACACCAGGTTGATGACCATTGAGACGTAGATGGCAAGCTTCCGTCCATACCTGGGGGAAATAAACAAAGGAGAGTTAGAAACACGCCATTAAGTTTCCCTTAAACCAAGTCTCATCTTATCAATCTATATTTCATACGATTCTGTCATGGGAATTGGGCACATCATTCCGTTGCCTTTGACTCGCCAGACGAGGTTGCTAATCAAATAACATTTTCAAAATTCCCTTTCAAGAAATAAGACCATGCAGTGTGGAATGCCTATCCTGGAGAACAGGAACGCAGCTTTCAGCAATATTTCAGCTATATGACGTCAGCCTGTGATAATCTGGAACAAGACGACATAGTGATTGGTATTGTGAGCAAAGATCCACAAAGGACACTGTGTCAACCAAGTCACGGGGTCTGACCTCCCGATTCATTTGTCGCCTCTTACGACCAGCATTGGTTGCTGGGGACCCCACGGGAGAGTCGATGTGTATTTCAACTATCACTACATATGATGAATACGTAGAAAGAATTTGTACTTATGAAATATTGTAGTTGATAAGACGTTAATGTGTCAGTATTTACGTCTGTGAACGATGATAAGAGGAAGGCCATATCGAAGCTGCTGGAGTTTTTAGATGCTAAGATGCAGATGTTTCAGTATTAAAGCCCCTTATTTGTTCTAAATGCTGAGGTACCTGTCAGCAAACGCCCCAAGGATGAAGACTCCCACCAGAAAGCCAGCCATGAACAACATCTGTGAGTGGGACGTTAGAAGCGCGTCTTCACACACCATGTTGTACTGTGAATCAATAGTTGTTATATACAGTATCTTTATACACCATGTTGTACTGTGAATCAATAGTTGTTATATACAGTATCTTTATACACCATGTTGTACTGTGAATCAATAGTTGTTATATACAGTATCTTTATACACCATGTTGTACTGTGAATCAATAGTTGTTATATACAGTATCTTTATACACCATGTTGTACTGTGAATCAATAGTTGTTATATACAGTATCTTTATACACCATGTTGTACTGTGAATCAATAGTTGTTATATACAGTATCTTTATACACCATGTTGTACTGTGAATCAATAGTTGTTATATACAGTATCTTTATACACCATGTTGTACTGTGGATCAATAGTTGTTATATACAGTATCTTTATACACCATGTTGTACTGTGGATCAATAGTTGTTATATACAGTATCTTTATACACCATGTTGTACTGTGAATCAATAGTTGTTATATACAGTGTCTTTATACACCATGTTGTACTGTGAATCAATAGTTGTTATATACAGTATCTTTCACACACCATGTTGTACTGTGAATCAATAGTTGTTATATAGAGTATCTTTATACACAATGTTGTACTGTGAATCAATAGTTGTTATATACAGTATCTTTATTCACCATGTTGTACTGTGAATCAATAGTTGTTATATACAGTATCTTTATACACCATGTTGTACTGTGAATCAATAGTTGTTATATACAGTATCTTTATACACCATGTTGTACTGTGAATCAATATTTGTTATATACAGTATCTTTATACACCATGTTGTACTGTGAATCAATAGTTGTTATATACAGTATCTTTATACACCATGTTGTACTGTGAATCAATAGTTGTTATATACAGTATCTTTATACACCATGTTGTACTGTGAATCAATAGTTGTTATATACAGTATCTTTATACACCATGTTGTACTGTGAATCAATAGTTGTTATATACAGTATCTTTATACACCATGTTGTACTGTGGAATCAATAGTTGTTATATACAGTATCTTTATACACCATGTTGTACTGTGAATCAATAGTTGTTATATACAGTATCTTTATACAGCACGTTGTACTGTGAATCAATAGTTGTTATATACAGTATCTTTATACACCATGTTGTACTGTGAATCAATAGTTGTTATATACAGTATCTTTATACACCATGTTGTACTGTGAATCAATAGTTGTTATATACAGTATCTTTATACACCATGTTGTACTGTGAATCAATAGTTGTTATATACAGTATCTTTATACACCATGTTGTACTGTGAATCAATAGTTGTTATATACAGTATCTTTATACACCACGTTGTACTGTGAATCAATAGTTGTTATATACAGTATCTTTATACACCATGTTGTACTGTGAATCAATAGTTGTTATATACAGTATCTTTATACACTATGTTGTACTGTGAATCAATAGTTGTTATATACAGTATCTTTATACACCATGTTGTACTGTGAATCAATAGTTGTTATATACATTATATTTATACTCCATGGTGTACTGTGAATCAATAGTTGTTATATACAGTATCTTTATACACCATGTTGTACTGTGAATCAATAGTTGTTATATACAGTATCTTTATACACCATGTTGTACTATGAATCAATAGTTGTTATATACAGTATCTTTATACACCATGCTATACTGTAAAAAATAGTTGTTATATACAGTATCTTTATACACCATGTTGTACTGTGGAATCAATAGTTGTTATATAAAGTAGCTTTATACACCATGTTGTACTGTGGAATCAATAGTTGTTATATAAAGTAGCTTTATACACCATGTTGTACTGTGAACACGCCTTGTGTTGTTATATAACATTCACACACCATGACGTATTGTAAAACACAATCCCAATCTCTTGTTGAATCGAGAGGGAACATCGATTAGTCACTGACCGGAGGTCCAGTCGTCTGAGGCGCCGCAATTGGCTGTGCATAGTTACGTCCCTTGGGCACCACGAAACTCAATGATTTCGATTCGAATCCCAGACCGCCCCGGCTTTCCTCCCACATTAAGCTGACACGCCGTGATACCACTGGAATTCTGTTTTAAAGCAGCGTTAACCCAACTGACTGACTCACTGACTCACTGACTCACTGACTGACTCACTCACTGACTGACTCACTCACTGACTCACTCACTGACTCACTCACTGACTCACTCACTGACTCACTCACTGACTCACTCACTGACTCACTCACTGACTGACTCACTGACTCACTCACTGACTGACTCACTGACTCACTCACTGACTGACTCACTGACTGACTCACTGACTGACTGACTCACTGACTGACTCACTGACTGACTCACTGACTCACTCACTGACTCACTCACTGACTCACTCACTGACTCACTCATTGACTCACTCACTCACTCACTGACTCACTGACTCACTGACTCACTCACTCACTCACTCTCTCACTGAATGTAACAACTGTTTGAACTGTTCCTATCCCTCCTCGTGCTCTCCCTTAATTTCTTCTAAAAGAGCCTATCATATTTCGTTTTAAGAATAACTATAATATTTTACGTTTGTTCATGTACCTACCTCTGACACTGCAGTTTGGTGGAACAAACTCTTGTCATACACCCAACGGTTGCACCGGACTCTGGTCATCGTACCTGAAGCGTTCGTGAACACATGGCACTTGTCATATATCACGTTACCATCTTGGAAGCTGTAGGGGATGGTGGAGTTGATGAGGTCGTTGTGGTACTCCGACTGAATAGCGTACGTGTCGTTGTCATAGCCTGGTAGCGCGCACCTGTAAGTACAGTAAACTACGTTTTTAACGAACACGCTTATAACGAACTGACGGATATAACGAACTGGCTTTTTTGGGATCCTGGCCATTTGCTGTATATATGCTATATATATGCTTATAACGAAGTACGGTTATAATGAACTAGAATTAGTGGTCCCTTTGAGTTCGTTATAGCATCCAGTGTGACATCCCTTCGGGTAGGGGAGTTCAAATCAGGGCGTTACACACACACACACGTACTCACGCACACTCTACCTCACACACATACATACACACTACTACTACTCAACAAATGCTACTGCTTCAACGACCTCTACTACTACTACTACTACTTCAACAACCTCTACTACAACTGCTTCAACAACATCTTCTACCACTACTAGTACTACGCCAACAACCTCTACTACTACTACTACTACTACTACTACTACTACTACCACTTCAACAACCTCAACTACAACTACTACTTCAACCTCTACTACTACTACTACTACTACTACTACTACTACTACTACTACTACTACTCCTGCTACCTCTACTTCAACAACCTCTACTACTACTAATACTTCAACAACCTCTACCACTACTACTACTGCTACTACTTCAACAACCTCTACTACTATTACGTCAACTACCCCTACTGCTAACATTACAAACAATGTATGCTCAAAGCGCAAAATATGTACAACAGACACCCCTTGTTTATTTTCCTGTCAGATTAATGGGTGTCAATTAGTATTTGATTCTTGGAAATGTTATTTAGAACCGATGGCGACAGGCGAAGGTTTCAAAGGATAATGACTGCGCACCAATACGTTATGACACCTACAAGTAATGTAAATAAACATTGTAAAATAAAAAAAATGATCGATCATTATTCTTTCTCCTTTCTTCATTTAAAATCATATTCAGACTGCAACTTGTGTTCCTATTGGTTTTACAATAAGGGCGGTGGGATAGCAAAGTTGGTTCGACCTGTGTTCGTTTCCTCACATGTATCATATGTGAAGCCCATTTTTTTTTTCCCCGTCAGTCAATCAATCGTCAAATCATCATCAATCATATAACAATGATCCTAGAACACCACATCATGCCAGATAATGAAATGTTTTGAAAAAGAATATCCTCTCCAGAAAATTAGCATTATTACATGCAATACTTTTTTTGTTTCAATCAGTCGTGTCATTCACTGTTTGTTTGTTTTTAACGTCGTACTCAGGAATATTCAATCTATATGACAGTCATGCACTGCATAATGCTTTAATGTTTAGGAAAGTCTGTAATATTGAAATAAACAAGAATGAAGAATACGATTCCAAATGACCGCACCTAGGTGGTTAAAACAGGATGGCTAACACTAGGACGTGCCACCTAATTGATAGCAAAACTATTAACATTTGAAATAACATCGAAGTAACGTACGAAACTAATTGTCATAGCAAGGTACCTCTTTAGTGGTTTTGGTGGCCTGCTCAATTAGATGTAATAACAATTAAACAGAGTTTAGGAAGGTCAGATATAATAGACGCAATTTATGTATATTTATGAATGAGTAATGCTGAAATTATTTGTTTTCACATTATATATAATTGTATGGGTGCAATTAACTCTGTTATGATCCGATAATTCAAACACGTCTACGTAAAGAACTAATCAGTCAATCAAATCGTTTGGTTAGTCATAAGCTTAATTATTGTATTTTCAAACGAATTGTCTCATTGCATGTATATCTTATAACAAACATCGTATTATGCACTTCACAATGTAAAATATTGTGTCAATCAACATTAAAACATAAATTAATTGCCGGGCAAAATAAAATTTACACAAAATTGGATTTACCCCCCAAATTACAAATATGTTATCAAAATGTTTCTACGCTGAAAGGGCGACAAAACACTGCAGACTGTAGGCACAGCTATGATACTAGTACCAATTACATCACCATCGAGGTTCACACACCATCAAACATAAGTATATACTTTCATTTCCCGGGAGTTTAGCTGCAACGTATCTCTCTCTCTATCCCTCCATCGTCTGCATCCCCATCTTCGCCCTACTTATATTAAACGAAACCAGGCACTCTTAACATGTACAAGCCGGGAAGCGTTCAGGATCGATGTCAGTCAGGTTTATTTTTAGCAACCATCAAACGTATTCCTCCTCATGCCCGGCATCGAGCCAGCCTGTTAACACAAGGCGAGAGATATATAGATAGAGACGTGCAAATACTTCAGCAGACAATATTGACTACACGCTTAGCAATCTTTTTTTCCGAAATACATAACGTACATGACCCGAAACGTATAATTATTATATTCACTCACAAAGGTCACAGGGTGGCGAAATTAGCGGTGGGTCGAGCCCTCATGGCCACGTGCTCCAGCCACAGATTCGCACCCCTGACTATATTTCTAGGCGTGTCAGCCCCGTGAGCCGGGGTCAGGGGCTTCACAAAAATGGTAAACGTCTGAGACATGAGTGATGTCCTGCTTGGTCACGATGCTTGTGTTTTACAAACGTGACGAGCGTCTTAGACCTTCCTAACGTCTGGCGCTCATCCCACGCTAGACTGACACGCCGTGCTATAACTGTTCAAAGTGGCGTTGAACCCCACTCACCTGTGTTTCTGAACGTACTGCAGGAAAGCGCTAACCATCATCCGGGCACCATGCGTAATTGCAGGAAGACATAGAAGAAAATAGATCCGTTTCTGGTACGACCCGAACTCGCCAACATGGCGGAGAACATCATCGAACTTCATCGTGTTTCAAGGGCCACATGCAAGACAGACTTTGGGTCAGCAAGTGCGAGGGAACTCTATTCAGTTGAAACAATTTGTAACCTTTTACAATCTACACGTCCAGATAGCAACGTGTATCAATCATTGCATAAATGCAAACCTTGTTCCTATAGGAGAATGGCCTCAACCCTCAATGTTGTTATCACGCGTGGTATAACGTTATCACTGATGTTCTATATGGGTCAAAGGTCATATAGTTGTAAAGCTTGTTAAGACAAACCTGACCTCATTATATTGTTATTATATATCGCATGTCAAGGTGTGAAATGATTGTATAACATGTCTTTAAAAAAGGACCTTAAATCTTAACAACGCCATCTGCTGTCGATAAGATAAACGTTTTTTCAATTAAAAGTCAATATGCTTGTTTAAGAATCTAAGTTGGGCTTACTTATTGTATCACGTAATTGACTCACAGGTAATGTATCACATTGATCTTTCAGGTTAATGTTGGTGAAACAATATGTAAAAAAACTTAATAAATAGTCATTTGATGTTAGTGAAGGCCGCGAGGTTCCTCTGAGATCACATTATCTCGCTGACATGGGGTCACCTAGCCACCATGTATACGTTTGTCATTACTAAGTAAATACTATAGAGGTTAGGTTCTTAAGGTCGCTGTGTCAAATTTATAATCATTCTCATAATGAAAACATGATCATAATTCAGTTACGACCGTCAATTTGATATTTGGGGAGAGGTTGGGGAGGGGGCGCTGGGATTTTATCGAAAAATATAAATTGTCGCATATGCTTCTGACTTTTGAAAAACGACGAAATTGCCTGCCACCAAAATTTCAATGTTGCAAGGTGTTTTTCTCAAAATATAATTCAGCACACCCCTACTCTACTCCCCCTGTCCCCCCCCCCCCCCCCCCCCCCCCCCCCCCTCCCACGTACACACCCCAAACACACTCACGCCAATGTGATATGGTCGGCCCCTAATGAACTAGATTACATTAATGCCGGAGGTACTACATCACTCAGCAGAGTGCAACCAATAGAGCAATAGAGGTGTCTTCATTAGTGTCATCGCTGGTTTTTCGTGATCCGTTCATATAATTTTCTTAACTATTTTGCCTTTTGGCTTTTTGAAGATACTCGAGGCTGATTAGTCTCTGATGGTTTAAATTTACAGTAACACCACATATAAATTGCTAGATATGATAGTGCAATGCTGAGAGGTGAGTCGTAAATGGAGACGAAAGGAGTGAGTTTCAGGTATTGAGGTAGTTTGTAAAATGAAGTGAAACTTGTTGTCGACTTTAGCCATCTTGGTGAAACCAACGAGCATAGTGCTGAGGGACCAAGAAGTAAAACTTGTTGATGACGTTAGCCATCTTGGTGAAACCAACGAGCATGGTGCTAAGAGACCAAGAAGTGAAACTTGTTGTCGACGTTAGCCATCTTGGTGAAACCAACGAGCATGGTGCTGAGGGACCAAGAAGTGAAACTTGTTGTTGACGTTAGCCACCGTTAAACAATGAAAACCAAATTAGGTGTACCATCAAATACGTAGAATGTAATATACATACACTTTATGATTAAGTGAGATAAAAATTCTCGATCTAACTATTCTGTGTCGATATATCAAATTCAACATTTAGGGTATGGATGACCAATCCTCTAAAGCCTACCAGACAGGTTTTCAATCACACGATCCGGTGGCCATGGGTTCGAATTCATTGTCAGCCGTGATTATGACACTTGATGTTTAACCACCATACCCATATGGCCAGTAGGAAACGTCATCGTCCTGCTTTGCTTCGGGCCTTCCTCCCACGGGAGGTGATATCCTACTTGTCCGACAGCAAGCAATCCCCTCCATGTGTGTTTAAGACGAGGGGTCACCTCAAATATAAGTCTGTCAGTGATGGTCCCCAGTAGTCCGGCCTCAGTCATAGAAACAAAGAATGTGTTTTTGCTCAACATTTTATTTCCATTGATATTGTTTTAAAAATAAATATTAAAGTATATCCATATACAAATTGTGGAATATCACATACATACACATTTACAAACTCCATTTGTATATATTTCAAATTATACTTTTATTAGATAAAAATACACAAAAAATACAATACAATAGTATCAGCAGTAATGCTTTTCCCATTGTATTACAAAACGATTCTTTATTTATTCGATATATAATATGATTTCTGTACATACATGTACATTCACAATTCACAAACCAACAAGATGCGACACTGCGTCATGGTACTGGTATTTGGATTTCTGATTTGTAGTCAGAAGTCGCTTCTCTCTTTCAAGAGCGTGTTCCAAATTCCGATACCGCCTTTTTTTGTGCGGCATCAAACTACCAGACTGCAGCTGCATGATTACAATCTCATTACTGTGCTGCTCAAATTGGATAATTTCAATGAATTTATACAGGTTTGGGTGACTGCGTCCAAGCCTCTTTAGGTTGGAGTGCCAACCTTCAAGATGGTTGGTTGCACGTGGACCAGTGGTATGGAAGTGATTCTACATAGCACGGTTGTTTTTGTCCACCCATCGCTCGGTCACATAGTCTGCAAAGTTCACAATTTTTTAATTGTCCAGATCTGATTCATCAAGGGTCTTCGCCCACACGTCGTCGATGTCACACATCTGCACCAGGGGTAATGCTGCAGCACGTCTTATGAGCATGTTCACGTTGTTGTCGTTCTGGAAGGCTTGTTTGAGACCGCAGTGCTGCGCCTTTCTCCAGATACGCTGTCGGAAATGAAAAAAACATCCTTTCAATTGTTCACCCCTAGCATAAAAGGTGCCGGACAAGTAGGATGCCCCCCGACGGGATATTCCTGAAAATAAAACGCAGAATTATACCAAAGTAGCTGCATCATCAACATGCATCACTGCACCATTACATAATTATGACCTCAGACTACAATTTGAAAGCGCGCTACACGAACCTAGGGAGCCTGGAAAACACTTGTAACATAGTCCCACTTGGAAACTAATTGTTATGGTAAATGTATGCACATATAACAAACACATGTTTAATTACACCTTGATCATTTGGCTGAGTTTGTTCACAGCGACGTACCTAATTATCACCATCTGCGGCAGCAACTACATCCACACGTCACCGCGGAAGACGCAGCTAGCGTCAAAATGTCCTGACTTATGCCAATATTTGAAAATATCATCGAGGGTTCAACCTCCACGTTACAGTACTCTCAGAGCTAGTTACATAGCAATTCTTGTTGTTAAGGTTATTGTTGCTGGTATGTGTATACTTGATACGGAAAATGAGGATTTAAGGGAATGTTTCTCAATATCTGATCAATCAAATCCGTTTTCACTCCTAATCTCTCTTCTTCGTAGTGTGTATAACACATAAAAGCAACAAACCCTTTTCATAATCTTAAGAAATCTCTTAAAAGCGGATTTTGTTTTACGATTCCGATACTATCATTATCATATGATTATGAACCACTAATGTATATAAATTTGAACATTATTTAGGGGCTGGTCATATATAATATCGAGGGGGTGGTCATTAAAAAGTGTTATATGTATTTACTATTATTTCCTTTGAAGGGGGTGGGGGGTATGTTATACAAAATGGGGGATCGGCAAAATATGATAGAGTCCTAAGACAATCCCCCCGCCCTACACTAATAAATTACCTGGCCCCGTAATGATACCCCGTATTCGCAAAAGGTGATCGTATCCTGCTCAACTGATAGTACCCCTCCATTCTCACAAACATGTAACACTTTGTTACGATTTTTGCACACAACAGATGCGGATGCAGTGTCAGGGAAATGAACAGGGGATGTGATCTACATGCCAGATGAATGCAGATAGTTCGCGAAATCAAATATTTCCGATAGTCGGGTTACCTATGTTCTTGGTTGAACACATATCACCAGATGGTTGGAGTACCTGTTCGGTACGCCCCCAAACCGTGTTTGGGTCTGCATATGCTTCACGAACTTGGATCACTCCAGCATCTACAACCCTGAACAGTGTTTGAAATACTGACACAGTTAACTTTTTAGTTATTTTTTTATTGTTCCCAGAGTTGAAGATTCGTGCAGTGTTCCGTTAAAACATATTTCGGATCGCATATAATGACACAATTTAGAATAAAGGTTTTAAAGCAAATATTGTCACTAAAAAGTTTGCAACACACGTATAAACCAAGAGCTAAGAATCAAATGCAAAGAATAAATTTGACCATTTTTTGTTAAATGACACAATTTTTGTCATCCTTTTTTTAAAGCAATAAAGTTCTCGATTGAATATATGTTTTTGAGTAGTATAGTATAGTATAGTATAGTATAGTATAGTATAGTATAGTATAGCATAGTATAGTATAGTATATCTATTTTCGGTTTGACACAATATAACTTAGTTGTTGTGTTCCCTGCTTGGGAAAGACTGAAAAACACTGAGAAGGTCAAACGCGTTTCAGACCAATTAACTGTGTTTCAGAAGCCAAACAGTTATGCGACATTACATTAAGCTTCAACACTTTAGTCTTCTTGCTGTGTGTTTATATATCACAATTAAACACACACACACACACACACACACACACACACACACACACACACACACACACACACACACACACACACACACACACACACACACACACACACACACACACACACACACACTGACACACCAGACACACACTGACACACCAGACACACTCACACACACACACACACACACACACATTACCGACGTGGTGAAGATACAGGTTAAATACTGTCACATAACCTCTGTCACATCGGAACTACTTATTTCATAAATAAATTCGCGAGAAGTCATTCGCTTTAACAACTACAAGGCGGAACTAAAGGAATCTAATGAAAGCGAGACATTTACACACACTTTGTTAAACCAAACAGGATCGTCACACGCGTCCAATTCGCCCTGCATTCTATGTTAGTTAAGCTACTTTTGACCTTATATAATCGAGCTATATCCATATGCAATGCACGACGACCGATAGATCGAGGGTCCCTATGAAAATGACGCACCCGAACACTGTCACGACTTTCAATTTGATTTAACGTAAAAGGATAACTGGGTGAAATGAAGTCAGTTTAAACTATGTGGACAGATATCTAGACTTACCATGGGTGCTCCGGTTGTGCCATCAGTGACCCCATTGGAAGCGTATTTTATGGCATTGCTTCCTGAATGAACATACACGATTGCACGACCAGATCATTCAAAGTGAACAGTGCCTGACTTCTGTTTTTAGGCCCAGACATTCCAAATGTGAAAATAACATTTTTTATTGATCTCAAGCGTAAAACGCTGTGAGT